CCCATTGCAAGTTAAATAGCAAAAAGCTGTTTAATCAGTCTTAAAAAAAAAATTAAGCGCTCTCTGTTACTTCAGAGTTGTTCGAGGGAAGAAAGTCTGCTTGAAATTCCATTTTACCTGGATAGAGTTTAATGTAGGTGTCCACCATTAAGTCTAAGTCATGTTTTATATCAATGTTTATGTTCAGCAAAGCTAGGTTGCTTGACCTTTGCTCTGTCACGGTGTTTTTCAGGTATGCCTTTAAGCGCTTTCGTCCTATTTCGTATTTTTCATTCTCCACTTTCATCACTGGAAGAATGCACAAGACTTTAAGCAGTGCATATACATTAGGGAAATACTTTATGTCTGGCAAGTGAAGTGCTTCATAAATAGTAGCTGGAAGTTCAATATCCTTTCCTCTGTGCTTCCACTTGATTCTCCAACAATGAAGCTCAGCAGAAAGTGTGTCCGGATTAGGTAAGTCATTTTTGTACATGTCAGCATGATGCTCCTCAGACGTATTGAATTTGAGCTGACCCATGACTGAGGGCACTAAAGATAAACACTTCAGAGCTTTTAAATGCTGTTCTGAGAATATATCTTTTAATTCTTGAATTATATGTTCCACTGTAGGGACACTAAGAATTTCCTTGTAGTAATTTTCCGACGTTAACTCAGCGTCCAAGTTACCCTGTTGAGACCTGCGGAATTTTCCAGGGAGTTTAATTTGTACATCCAGTTTTGCAGCCAAGTTTGTTGCTTCCTCAAACCAAAATTCATGATAAACTTCAATATTCTCCATCACTTCATTCAGAGAATGCAACACCGCCGTTAAGCTGCTAGCTGCAAAGAATACATCCGATGTTTGTCCCTGGAGATTTTTTCCAAATGCTCTCGTAAAAGACAGAACGTTTTTCAGAATTACAATGGTGACAATGAAGTCAAAATCTGTTAATGCACTTGAAAGTACAAATGCTCGACCAGCAATGAAGTTGTTCCACCTGACAGTGGAATCGTTGCTTACTGCGTCCAAACACAGTACCAAAGCTTGCATGAGATCCACCAAAACCTCAAAAGTATCATGCCTGCCTGTCCACTGCGAACGGCAGATCTCCTTTAGCTCATTACCTTTCTCCTCGTTGTTCTGAAAAAGAGCAGAAATTGTATTGTCCAGTTCCACCAGTAACTGTGGAGATCGACTAAAAAGACAGCGAACTTCTTCGATCGTTCCTAGGGCCGTGGAAACACCAACAACAGGAACCGACTTTGCCAACCATACATTTAAGGCACAAGAGGAACACAGAGTATACACAGCTTGTGGATACTTCTCCAAGAGTCTTGTAGCCACAACTTTCATTTTAGAAGCAAACCCACTGGAGACGATGTAGGCTTGACCCCGACAGTATTCCATGTTCAGACCCCATTTTTCAGTAATAGTCGTATGGAACTTAACAGCTAATATTTCAGGGTCAGCCTCATAAGGTAAAAATCCTATGAATTCTTCTCTCAGGTTATGAGAATCATCAACAAATCTCACCAAGACTGGCAAATGTTCCTCTCCTGCTATGTCTACTACTTCATCAGTGACAATAGAAAAGAAGTGTGAGTCTCTTACTTCCCTCAATGTTTCTTCTCTAATGCAGCTCTCACAGATCTCAAGCATTTGTTTCTGCTGCGTTTTCGAACAATACTCAAGATTGACCGCAGTCATCTCAAATCGTTTCCTCAGAACTTCATCTCCAGCATTGATTCTATATTCCAGCAGAGCCTGAAAGTTATCTGAAGTAAAAATACCTTCTGGAAGCTCATCCGCATTATGGCTATCCAAGGGAATATTTTGTTTACCCATGAGGATCAGAATTTCAAACAATGACTTAAGGTAATCCTTGTTTTCCCTTTCTTCTAGAGTTAAAGGAACAGATTTCTCCTCTTGCTGCTCCCCACCTTCCTCTGAGACAGCGTTTTGTGCAGTGCTTTCATTCAGTTCTTGAGTTGCCTGTTCTCGTTCAAAAGCTTCATTAACTACAAAATACAAAATATTGTAAGTGTTAAGACAACTAAAACATAACATTTGCTTTCCCCTACTATCCGTATTACCTTTAAGTTACTGGAATCCAGAGAAGAATCTTTCCAGTTTTAAAGTGACTGACTACATTGGAATGAGCTTAGATGAACTATCTGAATCAAGCAGCAACTAAACTACCCTCCTGAACAAATAAATAAATCTACACTTACGTGCCCTACAGTTCCTTATCAGCCTTAGTAAACAAAGTTTTTATGAACTCATTATTTTGTCCACTTACTCTTTTGCTGCTTCAGTGTTCTTATTTCATCTTCACTCTTAAAAAAAAAAAAAAAAAGATATACTGATGTTATTGTCTACCACATGACCCCTTTAAAATACTGAAATATATCAAGGTCAGATGCAAATATTGCAGATGAGACCATTTTTAGAGTGTTAATACCTACCAAAAACATGCTAGAAGGTCTAAGAGAAGGAGGTTCTTCAGGTAGTTTATTGCTGTCACAACACATATCTATTAAGTGCAGAAGAATGGTTTGCTACTACTGCTAAGGTTCCCATACATACATCAGGAGATTGTTCAATCTGCATTTTACAATTATGAGTAAATCTATTACATCAGAGAATTCCATTCTACTACAAACACGTACTGATAGCAGTAGCCTTCCATTATTTTCTACGTTTCAGTTAATAAACACTTATCAAATGCATCTGTCTGTGGTTCTGATGTATAAACACAGTTTAAGAGTTAAATTCATCTTAATTTTCAGTTACCTAAATCCACAGAGACCTAAAGACACAAAGTGTCCCAAAACAGCCATTGACAAGTTACAGCTCCACAAGAAATTGCCTGACCTTGCTTTTACACCTAGATTGTATTTGTAGAGCTCTGAAGGATGTCTGAACTGCAGAAGTGACTCAGATAAACAGAAACAGTCAACACAGAGTAAGATTTGCAGGGCTGCAGCTGTAAGGTGTTTTCCAGTTAGCACTGCAATGACAAGTAAGAGGAAGCAATACACTTCCCTTGCAAGACACAATCAGCTCTTGTTTTCCAGATTATCCCATTAACTTCTGGTAGATAAAACTTCAGTGTAACATTTAGATTTTAACTTACAATCAATAACATTATACTCCAATAGCAGTATAGAAACTGAAAACACCCAAGTGCTAATCATTAGACATTTCATATAAAATTTCACATGAACTTACTTGTTTTCATAATTCTAACATTAAAGCAATCAAACTTACTTTACAAACTTACCAGCTCTTTTATCCGTTTTCTATGTCTGCTGTGGGGATTGTTCAGATGACTTGTAAGATCAAATATAGTTGGCACAGCATTATCTCTTAAAACTGTTCTGTAAGGGCTCTGTAAAGACATCCAGATTAGTGTTGTCTCTGGGAAGCAAGCATAGTCTCTGAAATTCTGTGTTTTTGGGGAGGAAAAAAAGCACAGCCTCTGAAATGTTGTGGGTTTTGTGTTGTGTGTACAATGAGCATCACCTATGAATTCCTGTTGGTTTTGTACAAAGATTTTTTTTCCAGTTAATTATGTTCACTTTCTGATGCATCAGAACAGACATATAGTTCTACTATGCAACACCCATTTTCAAGAAGACTGAAAATGAGAAGAGATGTTTAAGAAAATAAGTATAACCACTTTTTCCACCCCTTTATCTTCATATCACAGATCCCTGGTGCAGCAATTTTAAGTTATTTGAATATTATGATTATTTTTTAATAAATTTTCTGGATGTTACAGACACTGATGCATCAGAAAGAAAACACTTTGATCATCCTGAAGGAAAGCACATCTGTCACATGAAGAAGAGGAAGGCTTCTAGATGATCATATAAATGTTTCCAGCAGTTAAAATGTTTTAAATAGAAATTTAAGTTCACAGTATATGCAAATATACATTGTCTAAATCAAACTGTTTCCATCAAGAACAGACCTTTAACTGACCATGTTTGGACATGCCACTGGACCGAAGATTTCAGTTTCATGAAGCTTCACTGAAGATCCAGAATTACTTCCAGTGGGCATTTTCTGTTTTGTTTCTGGGATGCTGGCTAAACAAAGACCCTGTCATGTGTACTACCACTAGGAACTCAGTCTGACCTACATGTTTTAATTATTCTATATAATGAGAAGACCAACTCTGCCTATTTCAGTCCAGAAATCAAAATTTGGTACAAAGCCACAAATCTATCATTTCCTACTGCTAAGTAAGCTGTTAAAAAAAAAATCAGCATCATCTTAATGAAGTACTAGCCTTCAATTCTTCATGCTAACAGGAAACAGTACCATGATTTTCGCTGGATAAAAAATAGCAGGAACCAAAAGCCTGACAGATACACAGAATGTTTAAACCTCTTGGCCACAGCTGAGGGCAACTGAACTGAACTGCACGATGTACACACTTCACTAACAGCACACTATTGATCTTCAATAATTAGAGGTATGCAAACATACATTCTTACACCCAGTAAACGTAAATAATGTTGTAATACATAGTGACAGTAAACAAAATGAACAGTTTTGCACAAGGAAAGAACTGCAGTGAAGACCAGAGCTACACAATCATTAAGCCAGCAGAAGCAGTTCTGCATTTCTTACCCCAAACTGCTTGCTTCCACCTCATCCTTTGCCAGTACAGACATCTGCAAGTCTGTACAGTACCCCGGGCCACAACAACAAGGTCAATTAGAACTAAGATTTATTTTCCCAGAGACCCCTTACCCAGGAGATCAAAGATTAAATGCAGCAATCTAATTAAAAAGAATCTTAATCACGTTCTGCAAGGTGCAATAAACAAATGCTTGGTTTTACTCACACTTCTACATATCATCGAGGTCTCAAAATGCTTAGCACACAGTCTGTAGTGCTTGTTGAGTTGATCTGGAGTTTTATCTTCTAAATCTGCCCTTCGACAGTTTTCTACCCATCTTTGACACCTGCATGTAAGCAGAAAATGTTAGCTAGTTTTAAGTTTAAACTAAATGCCCTACAGTTTCAAGCTTGGCTCATAACCAGTTTGCAGTGAGCCCTGCCCTTCATGCAAGGCCGTAAAGAATCAAAAGATCTTTCAAAAATCTGCTTTTATCCATTTGCTTACCATTCAGTATCACCCAGGCAGTCACTACTACCAATAACTGATGTAACTTAGTCAGCTTGTACTTCCCCCAGTGGGGTCGATGCAACCGCATTTGAGCAGCATAGAGCATCCACTCTCCATGTTTGGCCCCTCACTGCAAGAAGGATATTGAGGCCCTGGAACATGTTCAAAGGAGGGCAACAAAGCTGGTGAGGGGTCTGGAACACAGGCCATATGAGGAGAGGCTGAAGGAGCTGGGAATGTTCAGCCTGGAGAAGAGGAGGCTCAGGGGAGACCTCATTGCTCTCTGTAACTTCCTGAAGGGAGGTTGTAGTGAGCTGGGGGTCGGCCTCTGCTCTCGTGCCATCAGTGATAGGAGCAGGGGGAATGGTTTCAAGCTACGGCAGGGGAGATTCATGACATGAGGAAGTATTACTTTTCAGAAAGGGTGGTCAGGCACTGGAATGGATGCCCAGGGAGGTGGTGGAGTCACCGAGCCTGGGGGTGTTCAAGGAAAGGCTGGATGTTGTGTTGAGGGACATGGTTTAGTAGGAGCTGTTGGGAATAGGTGAACGGTTGGACTGGGGGAGCTTAAGTCTTTTCCAACCTTGGTGATTCTACAATTCTATGATCCAGTAAAACTCATCTACTATTTCATTTGCTCAGTAAATTATATGTGTAAGTTAAGAAGATTCCAGCAGTCATTAATATCTCAGTATTTAGAAGTTCAAAATAAGAACAAGTCCCACAAAGACAATTCTCCGAAGGAACACTGTTGTAATGGATGTGCACCTTGAGGCACCACAGACTCACCACATACAGTAACACAAACATTACTGTAATCTGATAGAAGGTTTATTATTGATAATTTTAACTCTGTAATGAGGTTACACAAGCTCCTACCTCTCCTAGGCCAAAACCCTCCCCAAACTAACTGAAGAAAGCCAGAAACAGCTACATTACCAAGAATCACAATGCTATCACAGTAATCCTACAGTAAAAATGAGAAGGAACTTTCATTCTCAGTGACTTCTTTTACAACACATCACTTTGCTACATACTTCTCAGCTTTTCCACTTAGATTTCTCTCTCTCCTTGTTTTTTTAATTGGCACTTGGAACAAAAAAATAACAGCAGCAACAAGAACCATAAAACAGGAATCATTTCTAATAGATAATTCTCATAGATTCACAGATAACATCTTTTATTAAAATAAAAACACTTCTCTTGCTCAGTCTTTTGGCAACGCAGCAGAACGCTCTTCCTTTAACCACGCAGCATAAATAGGCTTTTTTACATTGGAGAACTTTAACATGCAGACCATATTCAGTCCAGCTCTAATACTTCCTAAGCAGGTGCTCCAATTACCAAACAATTAAGGGCAATTATACTGGCTGTCACAAAGGCTGATGAGACTCCTGATAGTGAATGGAGAATGCAGTCCAGAGGGGTGGTCAGAATAAGAGCCTGACCTTACATGCTTTTCTCCACTGACTCAGGGTGGCTGAGGAAGACTACCACAGAGCAAAGTCAAAGCCTCCTGCTTTATGATAGCTCCTCTGAATCACCTCCTAGCAAACACAGGAGCAAACTGGTGGCAGCAATGGCACATATACAGCACATATATACAGCACATACATCAGAGCTGGCATACAGTTGTCAAACCAAAGTCAGCCCAAACCCCTCTATCTCCAACATTGCTGCCATCCAGAAAACAAGTACATACTAGTAGAAGGTAGGCACCACAGCAGATTCTTCAGCAATATCAAAAGGCACCACAAGCTTCTCAGAAGAGCCATACTGGGAAAAAGAGTTGCACAAAGATAAAATTACCAAAAGCTCCTCTCCTTTCTTGTTTTCTCCTCTGGTTACATAAAGGCAGCTGTGGCTGCCACCTTCTGTGCTGAAATCAACTCCTGAGTAAATGATCTTGGCACAAAGAGCCTGAGTTTGTGGCACCAAGCTCTTCACCCACTGGAGCATAAGATCTGTAACTGGAGCCCTAGGCATCTATGGAACTTCAGTGGCAAAGACTGGAGTGTTGGTATTTTGTCAGGTGGCCACACAACTAAAGGGAGATGGTAAATGTTAAGAGTAATAACTGACTGTCATCAGTTACTGACTCACAAGTAAGCCATTCCTACAACCATAACTGAGATTCAATTCCATGGGCACCTCTTTTTGCAAACATTAATTTATGCTGTTCAACTCACTGTAGCTGACACACATTTTTTCCAAAAGACCTTTAAGCTTCCACAAACGATGGCTGATAGTAAATACATTAAGAAGTTTTAAGTATTTCAGTTTTAGTTTATAGTTCCATTAACTGCACATTTCTGGACTTCTTTCCGACATGCTACAATGGCAAACGTTAAACCAAAGCTCCTTTCAATACAGAACTTATGAACTGAGAAAGGTATTTTCTTTACACAATAAACAGAATCACACAGAATCACAGAATCAAAAGGTTGGAAACAACCTGCAAGATCATCTAGTCCAACCACCCTCTCATTCCTATTAGTACCACAAGCTACTAAACCATATCTCGTAGCTCTATCATGTATTAAACTATCATGTATTGACCAGTTTAGAGTAACTTGACAACATTCAGATTTTCCAGCAAGGATTCCTTACAAATTATGCCTGAAGCTCAGACAGCACCAAAACCCAATTTTGCAGAAAACACTTCTTCCTTATATCCAACCTTAATCTGCCCTTCTTTAATACAAAATCATCTCCCTTTGTCCTATTCCCGTGAAAGAGCCTGTTCCCTTCTTTCTTACAGCCCCCCTTTAGATACTGACAGGCTGCTCTCCCTGAAGCCTCCAGGTTGCACAGCCCCAGCTCTCTCAGCCTGTCCTCATGGGAGAGGTGTTCCATCCCTTGGATCATTTTTGTGGCCCTCCCCTGGATATGCTCTACCAGCTCCATGTCTCTCCTGTACTGAGGACTCCACATCAGGTCACAGTACTCCAGGTGAGGTCTTACAGCACAGAGCAAAGGCACAGGATCACCCCCTTGCCCTGCTGACACAGCATTAGATGCAACCCAGGATACAGTAGGCTTTCTGGGTTGTGAGAACACGCTGGCTCACGTCCAGCTGCCATCCACCAGTATTCCTAGGTCTTTTCAGCAGGGCTGTGCTCCATCCTTACATTTCCCAGCTTGTACAGATAGCAAGGGTTGCCACGAACCACGTGCAGATTTGCAATTAGACTTACTGAACCTCATGAGGTTCTCCTGGACTCACTGCTTAGCCTGTTCAGATCTCTCTGGACAGCATCCCATCCCTTGGACATGTTGACTGTACCACACAGCTTGGTGTCACCCGCCAACTGCTGAGGGTGCACTCGATCCCACTGTTGATGTCACCGATGGAAATGTTAAAAAGCACTGGTTCTCACCACCATTTTAAGCCACTGACCACCACTGATCTTGCAACCAGTTCCTTGTCCATCAAACAGTCCATGTATCAGATCCATATCTTTCCAACTTGGAGAGAAGGATGTTATGGGGGACTGTGTCAAAGGCCTTACTGAAGTCCAGATAGATGACATCAGTGGCTCTTCCCTTGTCCATTGTCACAGCTAGGCCATCACAGAAGGCCACAAAATTGGTCAGGCAGGATCTGCCCTTAGAGAAGCCAAGCCAGTTATCCTGTATCACCTCCCAGCCTTCCACGTGCCTTAGCACAGCTTCCAGGAGAATCTGCACCATGATCTACAGTGGGACAGAAGTGAAACTGACAGGTTGATTTCTACATCTAAATACGTCTTACTTCTCACTGCACTTTCCACGGCCTAAATCAACTCATGCAACTATTGCTTTACCAGCGCACAGATTCTGCTTGGAATTTGGAACTTGAATACCTCACCACTTCTGCTGTTGCTTAGGATGCTCTACCATTGATCACCAACTCACTGACAGCTGCTCGTCACAAAGGTTGCAGGTCTCTGGATGCAGTACTCCAGATGGAGCCTCACGAGTGCAGAGTCAAGAGAGACAATGACCTCCCTTGCTCTGTTGCCAGCCCTCTTTTGATTCAGCCCTGGGTATGGTTGGCCTCCAGGACTGCAAATCACACTCAGTTTAATGTGACCCAGGGTACTGTTAGCCCTCTTGGCCACAAGAGTACACTGCTGGCTCATGGACAACTTGTCATCCACCAGGATTCCTATGTTCTCTGCAGGGCTGCTCTCAATGAGTTCTTCTCCTAGCCTGTATGCCTATACAGGACTGCCCAGACTCAAGTGCAACACCTTGCAGTTCGCATTGCTGAACCTTGCTTGGTTCATGTGGGCCTACTTTTTACGTCCATCCAGGTCCTTTCCTTCTGTTGTGTCAACTGCACCACTCAGCTTGGTGTCATCAGCAAACATTCTGAGGGTGCACTCAAACCCGTCATCTATATCACTGACAAAGATGTTGAACGTCACTGGTCCCAAGTCAGACCCTTGGAGGACACCACTCCATGACCAACTTCAATTGGGACATAGAGCCATTCACAACCTTTCACTTCACAGAATCACAGAATGGCCAGGGTTGGAAGGGACCTCAAGGATCATGAAGCTGCAACCCCCCTGCCACCAACCTCCCCATTTAATACTAGACCAAGCTGCCCAGGGCCCCATCCAATCCAGCCTTCAACATCTCCAGGGATGGACGGGGTATCACAGCCTCTCTGGGCAGCTGTTCCAGCACCTCACCACTCTCTCTGTAAAGAATTTCCCCCTGACATCCAACCTAAATCCTCCCTCCCTCATCTTCAAAACATTTCCCCTTGTCCTGCAGTTATCTACCCTTTCAAAGAATTGATTCCCCTCCTGTTTGTAGTCTCTCTTTAGGTACTGAAAGGCTGCAATGAGGTCACTACTCAACCTTCTTTTCTCCAGGCCTGAACGAGCCCAACTCCCTCAGCCTGTCTTCATAGGGGAGATGCTCCAGTCCCCTGATCGCCTTTGTGGCTCTCCTCTGGACCCTCTCCAACAGCTCCCTGTCTTTCTTGTACTGGGAGCTCCAGAGTTGGACACAATACAGCAAATGGGGCTCCACAAAAGCAGAGTAGAGGGGGACAATCACCTCCCTGTCCCTGCTGGCCACCCCTCTTCTGATGGAGCTCAGGGTTCCATTTGCTTTCCAACATGCAAGAGCACACTGCTAGCTCACATTATGTTTTTCATCCATCAGGACCCCCAGGTACTTCTCTGCAGGGCTGATTGCGACCATCCATCCAATTCTTTATCCATTCAATTGTCTGGGCATTGAGCCATTCTGCCATTTATGAAATGGCTGAGACTGGAGACACTCCAGGGTCCTCCGAACCCAACCCTGCCCCAGCAGAGCCCCCTACAGCGTGGCATTCAGAGGGGTTTTGAGGGAGGACACTTCAAAACCTCTGTAAGCACCACTTGGCATGGAATGGGCTACTGATGAGCACGGGACACCTGTCAAAGCAAGGCATCCTCAGAGTCAAGCAACCCTTCACTCCCTCACACCCTAGCACCCTCTCACAGTGCCGTTCAGAGGCAGGCACGCCCTCCCTCACATTCCTCTTACATCCAACCTCCCCCCACTCCTCACAAACACAACCCCCACACGCAAGGGTGCAGCGGGAGCAGCGAACGGCCGCCTCGACGCATGCGCAGCAGCGCTCCCGCCTCCCGCCGCGGGCCGGAGGGTCCCGCAGAGCCCCGCCCCTCGGGCACCACAGAGCGGGCGGCCGCCGCCAGGAGGAGAAGCGGGCGGCTCCTGACAGCGGAGTCTTCCCGCCTAGGTGAGGAGGAGCACGGAAAAAAAGGAGGAGGGAGGGAGCGAGCCGCCTCCCAGCCGGGGTGTCAGGCCAGGATGCGAGGGGAGAAGCGAGGCCCGGTGCCCGCTCCCTCCCCGCCGCTCCCCGGTTGTCTTTCCCGATCTGGGCTCTCACCTGACCGGGTCCCGGGGAAAGCGGAAGAAGGCCAGGTCAGACTGCGTGCTCTTGCGGGTGCAGTTGGGGGCCGCGCAGAAGTTCGGCATGGCCCCCCGGATCGGTGGGGCTGCCCCTTTAAATCCGCCGAGCCGCGGGGGGAAGGGGGGGGGGGGGGCGCGGAGGAGGAGGAGGAGGACGACGCGGCCGGGGGGGGAGGGAGGGAGGAGGGGTAGGGGGGGGGAAGCGGCTCCACACTGCTGTGAGCGGCCGGGAGGATTCACCGCCACCCTCCGCCGGGAGCAAGGGCCGCCTCCTTCCCACAGTGCACCGGGCCCGGCCGCTCGCAGTGTGCATGCGCCATGTGGAGCCCGGATGAGCGGTGCGCATGCGGGCTGCCGGCGGGCCCCTCTGGCTTCCCGTCGTAGGGAGAGCGCGGGAGGGCGGCGCGCCTGCGTAGTGAGGCAGCCGCAGGGAGCGTGGCGCATGCGCAGAGCTGGGAGTGGGGTGGGGGGGGGGCATAGTGTTTCCCGCCTTTTCTCCCGAGGGTGTGTGAGGTTGGCAGTATGCAGGGAGGAAATAAGCCATTAATAAATTGTTCATTAGTGTTCAAATTAGTAGTGCCAGGAACCCGAATCTCCACAGTTTCCGTTGTGAGAGTGCGTGAGCAAAGGAGAAAGTACGTGAAGCAGAAGAACAAAGGACTAAGATCCTTTATTTCATGGTAGAAAGAGTTGTGCATTGAGGAGAAGCGTTTACCTCATAGACACAACTTTAAGATCTTACTAAGATCACCAAAGTGATAGTATGAATTGTACAGCGCATTTAAATAACATCTGTGTGATACTGAGTATATTTAACCTGAAAACAAGCCTCAGTTACAGAATAAAGCCATAACCTTTTTCTTTTGTGTATTCTGTTTGGCTCTTCAGGAAGGCAGTAGCACAGACTGAATGGATATTGAGACAAACCAAGAGCTGGGCATTGAGTGTTGGAAAGTAATCGAAACAAGGAGCGTACCTGCTCTGAAGACTTCATCTCTCTCATTGGCAAAAACAGAATTGAGTTTGGAAAAAAAAAAAACCAGAGTAAAAATCTGAAAAGTTAAGAGGATAGAGGAAAGGCTCAGACATGAAATAGGTTCTGCTCATAGCGAGAGAAAGCACAGCCATTCTGAAAAGCATATATGATGTCCAGCAAGAGTTGTTAAAATGCAGTAGTTCTCCTTTGCTATGGACGTCTCTTATAGAGTTTTGAAGACACACAACATTCTGACAGATAAATGTGATGGGATTTTGGAAGCGTAAGCTAAAGAAATGAAATAAGCAAAGTGTTTCAAACCAGTTTATTAAGTTTTTGTTTTTTTTTTTTAAAATCATTTGGTTCCTTTTGGATGGGCTTAAAACTTTTCCAGCTTTTTTTATTTGGTGTGAGAAGAATTGTCTGTTAAATAAGGAAGCCTTATTAACAAGTGCCCTTCAAACTGCGAATCTCAGACTGCATCTCATTTGGACTAATAAAATAGCATGAGTTTATGTGATGTTAATTCTTTACAAGAATTTTGGCTATGCCATTTAGCTCTATTCATACTTTTTGAGTAGTTTCAGCTGAGGCTGAAGATGTGTTTAGCTGTACCTAATTGCTCTCATTGTCTAGACAATCATCAACATTTATATCCAGTGAACTGTTTAAGGGAATTAATCAGATCAGAAATAGCTTTTTTTGATTCTTAAATACACAAATTTATCTCAGATAGATTCGTTTTAATTCAGGTTAATTTGTTGTTTGATTTGCTTTGCAGATTGCATAAATGTTCATGCTGATGTAGGGAAATGCACAAGAGAGCAGGATCATTTTCAATCACAGTAGTGGTTTAGCAGCATGACTGTGTAATATTAGCTTGAAGCTTCCTAATTTAAAACACTTTTAAAACCTGCTTCAGTATGAAAAAAATGCCTCTTTTCCCTTAACTAGTAATGGCAGTGCTCATATATTTTGCCGAGGATTGAAGGGCCCTTTTTCCCTTCAATAGGGAATAGTTCTGATCCATCAGAAAAGGGAATTGCGTGCAGAAATTCTTAAGACTCCGAAAAGCCAAACCAGAAGACTACAGTGATATTAAAAATAAAGTAACTGTGGTATATATTTCCCAATGACAACTTCTGGTCGAAGTATCACCATACAAGAATGTTATAGCTGTTATTGTATTTTTTTTTTTTAAACTATCCTCTGGGTTATTCAAATGTTGTTCACAACGTATTTCCAACCTTATTTGTATAACTGAATAGAGATCATGTGCTGTGTTAAAAGTGTTATGCAGGTAATCTGTATCATCCAAATAAGTTATTAAAGGAATTCTGTCTGTTCATATGTGTTCATGTGGATTTTTAATTGCTTTATTTCACCACTGCTGAGGTCAGATGAACTCTAGCACTTTACATAGCATTGTAGTGGTTGCAAAATAATCTCTTTAATGTGCTCCTGGAATGAATGGGATGTCTCTTTCACAGGCTGCATCTTAGTATGCCTTTATTTTCTAATAGCATTCAAATACGATTGTGGTGTTCTGTAGGTTTCCTGTTACCAAAATTTTATTTGCAAGACAGTATTTAAAGTCTAATATCCTTTAATGAATTTCTGTTACGTGGTCTGTTGCAAGTCATATGGCTTGCAATATGTTGTTGTTGGGATAACTGTCAGAACTAAAAATGTCAGTTTAATCCCATGGACGTCTGTATATATTTGTATCTGCGTCCCTGCTGAAACGTGATGAAATTTGCAATGACAGGATGAAAAAAGCAGTGCTCATGTGAAGAGCTTGCCTATAGTTCTGGAGGATTGAAAGGCAAAGGCGGGGAATAACGTTGTACACTACGTGAGAGGACCTCTGCAAATGCATTTTGAAGTATGCAGTGCTGGTGACCAGTATGCATCTGAATTGTGACTCTAAGTAATGCTGCATTCTGGCTCCATCCTGGTGGTTAACTTTTTGCAAATGAAAGTTAGTGAAAACCTTTGAGGATCATCAGGCGAACTCCCATTGTGTTGTCCCCGTTTTACTGGGATCTTTTATTTCACAGAAATCATGGCTGATTCAAAGAATGCTGGTTCTTGCAGGTTTTGTATCAAGTCTGCACTGAGAGAAAGCAGGAGGATTGGCTTTGTGCCACTCGGCTTTTATGCAGGGGTACAATCTGTGTCAGTCAAGGTCGGCCCAAACAATGTTATTTATGCACTGGCATGGCTTTCCAAATGACCTATCCTAAGTTAAAAACTGTCTGCCTTCTGGATTGCTGCTATTCCTCCCTTCATGGGAAGCAGCTTTCTTAATTATAAGCAGTTGTTGCAGTTTCTGAAAAGTTCCTCCAGCCAAAGCAGATTACCTCCTGTGCTGCTCTGTGGGCAGCACATGCTAGCAGAGCCATCTCTAGCTCTGGCAGAAATTCACAAAGCAGCAACCTAACAAATTCCTGTCCATCTGCCCATTTGGAGGCATTCGTTTGTAGTTGGTGATGCTAACCTTAATTTACAGTCCTTGTTTCCTCCATCCATTGCCTTGGTTATACAATATATTGATATGAGCATTCAGAGAGAAAAGCCTTTCAAAATATAGACGTTAGCTAATCAGGCACTGCCAGTCGAATATTTAATATCTGTACAGTAAGCTATATTCCCATTTCATCATGTTCTTTTTTTTCAATATCACCATAAAAGACTTTCTGTATACATTTTTTTTCACTTATACGATCATCATTTATACCAGCATAGAGCTGGAGAACACAAGACATCTTATATTCTTCCTGTGTGTGTGCCACAACCCAGGAGCAGCAGGCAGTCTGTGTGCTTGGTATCTGGTCATGTTAAGAGAATCCTCTGGAAAAGTACATGCTTTTCCCAAAATTTCAGGGACAACTGCACAGTGACAGTGACAGAGTTACTCATTACTCCAGTTTGCAGACACAGCACCAGCTTTTCCATTGGCACACTTTTATCCTGCAAAAATACGGTAAGTGTTCAGAAAAATAACATGAGGAAATGCCTGCTTTCATTGGCCACCTAGGTGTTAAAATCTTTAATTATTTTTCCTATTATCACCTTAGCTGCTTTTGTTGTCTGGTCCCTGTATAGTGATCACAGCTTTGCAATCCATTGCTGCCCCAGCATGCATTTTTAGCACTTTTAGCAAGTTAAAGTGTAATGACATCTTTGATCCCATGCTTTCTGTTTTGGGAAATGCCCTTGCTTCCTTCTCAGTGCATTGTTAACCAATATTATACATTACAAAGAGAACAGAGGTATGCATCTGTCTCCCTGAATCACAGAAGCCTCTGACTTTAAGCTGCTCTTTGACATGCCTCAGAATGACACAATGGAGTGGGGTTTTTTTAAATATTGTTTCAGGTTATATAATCAAGCTTTTGCCTCCCTGTGGTGTTTAAATAGATGCTTGACTCCAGCGGTGTTTCCACGCATTAGGTTTCGCTGAATTTAGCTACTTTCAGCACTGAATTTCTTTCCATTTGCAAAATAGATAGAGGTTTTAAATATACATGTATTACTTAAAACGGGGGAAAAAAATAATTGGCAATGCAAAGCTCGCTCCGGTGAAATAAGTTGAAATAATGTTGTGGATTCGAGTACAAATAGTTCTGAGCCCACTGTGACAATCCCTGCTTCTGACAAGGCTGTGCATAAAAGGCTCCCCTGGCAAGCTGCCATTGCCTGAATGTTGCTGAGGCTTCTGTTCCTATCTCAGCCGCGAGGAAAATGTGATGGGAAAGGGTTTGAGGAGGGGGAGAGTTTAGGAGTCGTCTGAGGGTGATGGAATAAAATTAAAACGGAGATGCTTATGTCAGGAAAATGTAGCGAGTCACTGAATGATCTCTAAAGAGAAGTGGAAACTGTTGGTTAGGCCATTTAACATGGAAACAACAACAATAAAAGAGACCAAGAAAGGATTTAATTTGTGTTAGAATCTCAGCTATCTCTTCCCTGTGCAAAACATGGAACGTATTTTAAAGCATCTTTAAATTCAAAAAAATTTTACATTATCTACAAAGTTTCATTTGTCTTAGTATAAGAGTGTCGTGGCTTTCTTGACTGCTGATAAAATATTTTCTTGATTTTCCAATTCTGCTTTTCAAATTATCAGCACAAAACTCTGAATACTGAAACTTCACCGTTTACAGAAAGGAAGTAGTTGTGCATGTTTCTCATGTAGTGCCAAGTTGATGTGCCTCAATTCTACCTTCAAAAGGCTGCTCTGAAGGAAAAGGGCATTTCAGAGTTTGTATCAATCCAGCTGTAGCTTGGATGAATGCAGGTCTGTCAGCCGTGTGCCACAATGAGAATGGAGTTTGTAGTGGCATGAGTGGAGATGCACTTAATAATCCAGCAAGAAGAGCAGAGAGCTTGCTGTGCTCGTTTTGTATGAGCCCCTAAAGAGCTGCGAGGAATGGCTTTGTTGCTGGTGAGCTGGGCTGCATACAAATCACTTTTTCCAAGTGAAAATCACTTCTCCCCTGTGCTGTGCCATCTCACTGCTGGTGCCTCAAAACTACAGCGTGTTGTCTTCTCCCTTCCATTGGCTCATGCAGTACAGGGAGGTGCAGTGAGACACATATTATTCTATACGCTCCCAGAAAACTTGTAATTAATTAATCCAGTGCCTGTAATTGATGCGAATTCAATTATTACATCCGGTCCTAGAGAACTTGAAACAGTATTTGAGTCCTTGATGGTCACTGTATTTCTTAATGTAAATGGGAATGGATTTTGCTTAAATGCATGTAATTGAGCCATTTCTTTATAAGCCTTGCAATATGCTGTTATAAATGATTACACATGGCTTTTGTATATCAATCTGCCATTCATTTCCTAAATTCTTTATTAAAAAATGGAGATGGAGGTACAAGAAAAGTGAAACAACTTGCCCAGGGCTGCTCACTGGGTTATCAGCAGATGAAGAATACTGCAGGACTAATGAGATCTCATTTCATCTGTGTCTGCTGGCTGTAATGCATTGCTCACACTTTTAGACCTAAGGTTACAGTCTTATAAGACCAATTTGTGAATCCTTGTTGACATCAGTTGAATGTTCAATAGATTTACTGGTTATCATGAGACAGAACTGGCTGACAGCATGGTGGCATGAGCCTTGCATCCTTAGGAATCCTGAAACCAAGCTGCTCTCAACAATTTTCTTTATGGTTTTACTTTTAGAAAAGTCAGAGTGCTCTGTAATTTTGGGCCTCTGTAACTGATGACTCAGTCAGAAACTGAGGATGTAGGTAATGAGAACTAAGAAGGTTGAAGGCAACTAAGAATATATAAAAGAAAAAGCTGGCATTTTCACATTCTGCATTTTCTTCTGGAACCCACAATGAATCAGTCTATTTTATATGACTGCACTGAGAAAATGTCACCCATGGGCTGTTTAGCTATGATTCCTTATTAATGAAGTCTAAACCACCCTGCTCTTCTTTTTCATTTTTTTTAGCATATAACTGGAATGCTCCTGACATTCTCTTCATCACACATAAAGAAATGTTGTCAAGTCTTGGTCTCCCTTGGGTGGCCTGCCAGGATTACCCTAAATTATCTAAGCAGGCTCCATGCAATCATTCTGAGTCCAGATAACTTACGCTTTTCAGGATTCATTCTTTTTGTGTGATTTTGTTGTGTCTTTTTTTCTTCTTTGTCTGCAGTATCTCAGCCATCCCATTGGTACGGGTAATAGAGAATTGATTGTAGCTAAGTAGGTGGCTCTGAACAACTGTGCTGTTGTAACTACAGGCAGAATTTGGCCTTCAGAGCTTCTGGACCTTCTCCCACATATTTCCAAGTCTGGGTTTTCATCCTTAATGAAAATAAGAAGTATTCTTGGAAAACAACTTAGGACATCTGCAGAAAGTCGCAGCTTCAGACAGTTCATACATAACTGCTTCATGTCTTACATCTCTTTTTTCATTCTGTGTGCAGAAAGAAATGCAGCGTATATGATTTGCTTGAGCACATACATATGTGCTCATGAGAGTGTTAGTGTGTGTCAGTCTGCTTTGCTTGTAATAACTTGACCCTGTTGCCAATTTTGGAAGAAAATTAAAGATCTTCAAACAAACAAACAAACAAATAAAAAAACTAACCAGCCTCATTAAGTTTACTGAGCCTGCTGAGCCACGCTGAGAAAACATATTATTCATGCTTTCTCTGAGAAAAGGTACCAGCATGAGCTGCATTGTTAGCAAGTAGCAGAGAATTCACTGCATGAGGATGGAGAGCATACATAAATAAGCACAAAAAAACTTCAAGAAAATGTTCAGCTAACATCTACACCTTATTAGATAAAATATGTTTTTAAAATATGGAGTAGTTTCTTGTTCAGGGCATGATTTACTTACCTCATGCAATAAAAATGATTCTCTCCTAGAGCATCACAGTTGCTGTTGATGAATAAATCTCAAAAGGGCTGTATTATTCTGGTAAGTGGCATTCCTACTGAGCTGCCTAACTGAACTAAAAGTCACATTTCAAGCTGGGTTTGCAATGGAACCTCTGAGCTACAAAGAAAAGCTGCAGCTTTTAGCACCATCCTTGTCTACATCTTCCTTAGCTTTCTGCAAAGCTTAGGGCATTTGGTTTTGTTAGGATATGTTATGCAAAGATGATGCTGTTTTCCTTCAGCTGGTTCTTGTTTAAGAAGGCATTAAAAAAAAAGGAGAATTGTTTGAGCTCTCCTGTACCGTTCAGCATAATCGTTTTCAAGTGCTGGAGATTTATGCTGCTGTGGAGAACAATAGGAAGTTGCATGTGAGAAAATGTTCATCAGCAATCACAAGGAATAAACATTTTTCTGTAGTTAGGTGGAAACAAAAGCACTTGCAGATCTAGAAATAGGCATTGCCTTTCAAAGAGTACCGTCAACCTTGTCTTCACCTCAAAAACCTTCCAGCTGCATCTGCTCCTCTGCAAGCAAGCTATAAGATTTTAAGGAGCTGGGACTCGGTGACCCTTGTGGGTCCCTTCCAGCTTGGGATATTCTCTGAATTTATGATTTTCTTGGTAAAAAAAAATGCAGGCAGAATAGAAATTTGGGCTCAGCAGAGAGATTGCTCATTTCTAAGATTTTATTGTTTCCTAGAGAACTATTGAAGGTAACCAAACCAGCCTTTTCCTTTTGGCCGCTGACAAGGAGAACTGCTCCTTGCGCACAAGCAAGCCACCACCTTTCCCAGGATCACACTGCACTCTTCCCAGTAAAACGTCTAGACAGGAACAGAGGGAGTTTTTCCTGCCAGCATTTCCAGCAAAAGCTTCTGCAGGCTGGAGCTTTTAAATTATGTAGGGAGGGAAAAAAAAAAAAAAAGTCTCAATTCTTTTCATTATATATGATTTTCTGCAAAAAGACCCGCTGTGGGTTGCAGACAGTAACAAATTTCTGCAAAAAATGGGTTTCTCTAGCACTGGTGTGGGCCCAAAACCACCAATTCCTCACAACCTGAAAATAACTCATTACAGGACAAGAGGGAATCACCTTAAGTTGCACCAGGGGAGGTTCAGGTTGGATATGAGGAACTATTTCTTCTCAGGAAGAGTGGTGATGCATAGGCACAGGCTGCTGGTGGAGACAGCATCCCAAGGACCGTGGAGAAGTGGCCCTGGGGGACGTGGCCAGTGGTTATGATGGAATGGGTTGGGGTTGGACTTGGGGACCTTAATGGTCTTTCCAGTCTTAATGATTCTATGATCTGCAGGATGAAGGGGGACAACTATGATAGAGGGGACACTTCTCATCCTTGTCCTCAGTTCTCAGGCACTGATATAGATATATATATACACACATATATATATATTTGCAAAATTGGGAAACACACACAAGGAAGCGCAGAAAAAAAGTCATGAGGCAAAATTAAAGCCCCACGAAGGCCTACTGCCCAGAGCTCATCCTGTATGTATGGTTCTCTGTCTTTGTTGTTGTTGTTGTTGCCTGTTTTGATATTTTTTTTTTCTTTTTTCTTTTTGCTCTCCTTTCTCGCTGTCACACCACAGCCACAAACCGCCGTGTCTCCTTCGGGCTTCAGCTGCACGCCAAAGATGGTTTCTTTTTTCACTTCTAATCCCATCTGAGGACTTTCTAGAGGCTATGATCGACTGCACTGCTGCGAAAACCACAAAATACACGCACACACACATACCAAAAAAAAAAAAAAAAAAAAAAAAAAAAGCCAATACGGCTATTAGATCTGAGGCAGCCGCCGGGCTCGCAGGATGTAGCCGTCCCGGTGCGGTTGCCGGCTGCAGGTTGAACCACCGCATTGTCTGCACTGACGAGGGCTGGCTGCCGTCACCGCACACGATTTTGAGTCAGAAAGCTGGAAACGGGGAAATAACGCCCCGGATTTCCTTTCAGAAACTGCGCTCGACGGTTAACGACCAAACTTTGAGAAGTGTGACGGGCGTAAAAATCGCATCGTTACGCTAATGGCTGTTTCACGGTGTAGCTATGGGGTGCTACGCACCCCTCTACTACCCCAGCCTTAGAGAGCAACGCGCGCGGCTTTTTGTCCCCTCTCGCTTCCCGTATCCGCCCGCAGGGCTATGGCGGGACAGTCGGCGCCACTTCCCACCTCGTAGACAAACGCACAGCAGACTACATCTCCTAGGAGTGCCCCGCGGCGCTGCGCATGCGCGGCGCACTTTCGGCGCGCCATCTTGGCTCCCGCTTCTTCCATCTCCTCGCTCACTGAGTGGCTGAATGAAGGGATGAGGGCGCGCGGACTACAACTCCCGTCGTGCCTTGCGGAGCTGGCGCATGAGCAGTGCGCCCCGCCGCCATCTTGGCCGGGGAAGCGCTGCCGCCACCGCCGCCAAACAAACCCGAGAGCGGCACCGCGGGGGGAGGAGGGGTTGAGTTACCGAGGAGTCTTTCGATGTGCCGGGCACGGCCGGCCAGGTGAGTCTCGCTCCCAAAGCAGCACCTCCCTGCCTTCTCCGAGGCTCTTCCCTATGAGGAACGGGGCTGCTCTCCTTCCCCGGGGCGCCGGGGACCCGCCGCCCCCTCACGGGCCCGGCGCCTGCTCCCTGTCTGCGCGGCCTTCGCCTCCCTTCTGCCTTCAGGGCCTTTCTCCCTCGCTTGAGGTACCGGAGGAACCCCGCGAAGGGCGGGCGTGAGCCCCGGGTGGCTGTAGCCTGAAGGCTCCCTCCCGGGAAGCTCCGAGCCTGGGGATGGGGCCGGGGCTTTTGTTCCCTGTGCTCCCCTCAGGCCCTTCTTCCTTCTCCTCCTCGGGGGAAATGTTCCCTCCCTCCCCTCCCATCCCCCAGATGTTCTCCTCGTAAGGCTTTTTCCCCATATTTGAATTTTTTTTTTAATTTTTACTTTATTCTTTTTATTTTAGGGGACGCGGAAAGCAGATTTCTGCGTTATTTTTTGTTTTGCTGCCGTTCTGTTATAGATCGGTGCTAAATGTGTTGTGTGGGGGGGGCCGTGTGGATTGCTGGAAGAGTTCTTATAATAGGTGCTCTGTGCATAAAGAGAAGGAGGAGACTCGAGCATCTAGCATCTATTCGGAGAGTGTTTCAGCATGAAAAAGAAAAGGCTGGGGCAGGAGGTAGGAAACTCAGGAGAAAGGCTTTGACTGGTGGGAGAGAGCATAGGAAGCCCCACGCCATTGTGAAACTGCTGAATTCCTGCATGGTAACGCACGCATGCCATTAGGTTGGGGCAGGGATGGGAGGGAATGTGGTGTTGAGAGCAGCCTGGGGACTTTGCATTGGGAAGTGGATAGACGGTGGGCTCACGCTTACTGCGTCTGTGTTCCTTTGCAGGGAGGCTGAGCTCTGCGGGAGCACAGGGAGAAGATGCCTGTGGTGTGGCCAACGCTTCTGGATCTCAGCAGAGATGAGTGCAAGAGGATCCTTCGCAAACTGGGTACAGTAAGATGCAATTTGTGGGTCTGTATGTTTGCCCTTTTAAGACTTGCCTGCCTGCTGCTTCCATGAAATACTTTATTGCGTCTACAGGCAACTTACAAGTGATTTCCTGCTTCTTCCGTGTGTCATTAGGCTGACAGCTGTGGCTTAAAATGATGTTGGGCAGATGCTCTGCCTGAGCAATAGAGGTAGAACAGAATTGTTTTCGTTTGATTAAATCTCTCATAGATATCCTTGTCCATCTTTGCTTTGATGTGGCAGTGTTTATGGCTATGAACGTGCGATATCATATCTAGGCAAGAAGAGAATCTTAATTTGTTCTTCAGTTCTGTGCTAAGGCACCTATTTGTACCAAAAATGCATAGAGTTTTGATTTGATGGATACTGTGGTGTTTCTGTAGTAAAGACTTACAGATTCATAGAATATACCAAGCTGGAAGGGACCTGTGAGACTCATGGAGTTCTACTTCTAGCACTGCACAGTCTTGAAATGTAACAAAAAATAATCTATGATATCTTGTAACTTTCTGCCTTACTTACGTGAGTTGTCAGAGAGATGTGGAAAGTCCTAACTTTACAGCAGGAGCTTTTTGTGCTGTTTCAATTCTAGCTTAATGTCTGTGTACCTTGCCCAGCAAATGTGTGTGTATTGAGATTTTTTGTGCTCTGTAATTGCAGGTGTGTAAGGAGACATCCTATTGTGTTTTGGAAGCTAGTAAAAATATTTATTCTTTCCTCTCATGCAAGCTTTTGGCTACCATAGGAGAGAGAGAATCCTTTCATCTGATCCTATGCTGTGGTTCTTGTGTTCCTAAGAAACTTGTTTTGTTTTAAGTTAAGGGCTTTTTCTGAATTAAATGATGCATAGCATTAGAGGAAAAGAGAAGTAGATTTCTTTTCAGGCTGTCCTCTGAGGAGCTTTTTCTAGGAGGTGATGTCAGGAGGAAAGCTGAGCCTGCCACACACTTCCTGTGACAGTCATGTTAATCACTCAGCTTTTCTTGTTCACGTTTTGAAAGCTAAAAGACTGTGTGTTGTATTCCTTAGTTATGTGAACGTTCTCATGTGCTGTGAAGCCATTGCCACTGTTTTCTGAGAGATGTGAATTTGTTTTACCTTGCTCTTTTTTTCACTTTGCTTCTTGAGAATCTGGGATTTGCATTCTGTTGGAGCAGTGACGCAGTTGTTGCACACAGCATCAAAACGAAGCCGTGCATCCATTAAAGTGATAGCTCTAGGTCTGAAGAGAGTCTCAAGGGGCACAAAACTAGGAGAAAGTGCAGAATGCCAAAAAATATGGACCGGATCTCTGCTACTAAATTATGCTAACGTAGCTCTTGCTGGCTGGAAGGGTGGAAAAAAAAACTTCCAGCCGACGGCGGTGTGCTGGCAGAACCCTGCTGGTGTAGCTGAGCCAAACAGAACTGCAGCTACACCTCCTCCAGTGACATAACCTAGGCCGACAGGAAAAAAACAGAAGAAATAAAAATCTTTTTTGCTGGCATGAGCTGTGTCCCCGCCAGAGGGCCCTGCCAGCATAACAGAGATAAGAGCTTGTAGCTGCCGCGTCTCTTCTAGAGTAGAGGAGCTCTCCATTTATACAGACACACCAGAAGGCTGGAGGGAGAAGGGGCACAGCTAGTCTGCCAGCCACGAAGCAAATCAGTTAAGCTCTCAGCCCAACATCTCATGTGGTTGCTCATTCAAGGCAAAATACAGTGGTACAGGGAAAGCTGAAATGTATCCTGAGGTGTACAATGCCTTGTGTTGCCCTGCAGCCTTCTTGGCTTGTAACTGAATCACCTTGCACTTGAAATAACAGTATTTATTTGTGAAACCTGGTTTTTGAAGCATTTATTGACTTGCTTGGTGGTTTCAGCTTGAAAAGAGAGCACGTCAGTTAGTAATGCTGTGTAGACAGGAAGGTGAGGAAGCTAGTTACAGCTTCTATGTAATCTTTTCTAACTCTCAAAAAGCCAGAGTGTGCATTTGTTAGTCTTAGTATAGAGCATCTGCATTGAAAATGAAAAGAAGAATCTCTTTGCTAAGTCATTATACAATTGTATCTGAGGATTATTTTATGTTGTTAACAGAGGAAAATAATTAGTATCTTAAATATTGTAACATGGTTATCTAAATAAATGTTGATATTAATAATCACCATTGCATTAATTAGCAAATGTTTTATAACCGAAGCTGCAAATACTTCTGTAGGTCTCCCAGCATCCCTGTGCAGGCTGTGGAGTTAACCAAGGCGACTCTGCTTTGTGTCTTTCCTACTTAATCAGGGCAGCAGAGCAGGGCTTCTTTTCAGCACAGCTCCTTGATTTGATTTGTTAATTGGCTTTTTGGAATCCCAGTCTGAGCAGCATCAGTCTTCTTTAATTGCAAGAAAATTCAGATGTGTTTTGGGGCTCTTGTTACGTTTTGGCCTGCCCCTTTTATTTATGCTTCTGACTAACTGGGATCTGTTGTGGGGGTGGGATAACTGGTTGTTGAAATGGAGCTCTGAATGAAAGTAATCTGCAGAAATAGCAAAATAATTGGTATTGCTGGTTCAAAGCATGGCCCTTAGTAATGTTTTCTTTAACACGTAGTGCTATGCTTAGAATAGCAAGCTAGCAGACTCCAACTGTACATGCGTTAGGTATTTTTTACCCTGTTTAGTAGGACAGCATCCAGTATTTCAGTAGCCTTTAGCTATCATGTTATTTTGAAAGCTCTGATGGTGTTCTTAGGAGTCACCTGGTATTACATGTTTATGTTACATCAGAGTTACATTTTTGCATGCTAATCTTCACGATGGCCTTACATTTAAGACTGGCTGGATTGTTTGGTGTACTGTATGGCTTTAATTCACTGCAGTGCATTGTTTTCAGATCCGAGCAGTTGTACATATCTGGTGAATGGGCATGAAAAGATAATGATGATCGTGTTTAACAAAATGGAGCTTATGCTCTCCATGCTAATTAAAGAGCAGTGTTAGGAAAACAAGTCCATTACTCTTTTGACAGTATTTCTTCTCCAAGCCTTGCAACTTTTAATAGTGATACGTATTAAATATTTTCTTCTGCTTCTAGAGAGTTCTAAGCTACTACTCAAATTGCTGGACTCTTTTTTTTTTTTTTTTCAAGGTTTCTATGTTGAACTGTCAGCTCGGAGAGTGCTTGGGTTTATACAACTAGATAATCCTCTGTGATGATACAGTTGTTTCATAGAAAAGCTGTAGGCTGCAGAATAATTGACTGAGAGAGTTCTAAACCATCAATCTCTCCTGAAAAGCGCGAAATAATTGAAAGACACATTCCTTGTAATGATTTTGGAAATTAATAGAGTACTGTCAGTAATACTGAAAATAACATTTTTTCCTTTTGCTGTGAGCATTAAATAGAACTACTGTTTGCTCTAATTCCTCAGAACTGGAGGCATATGCAGGTGTCATCAGTGCCTTACGTGCACAGGGAGATCTTACGAAAGAGAAGAAGGATCTTCTTGGAGAACTCTCTAAAGTGCTTAGGTAACCCTGACCTTTATAAACTAAGAGCTTGGTGGCCTTTTTTCTTTTAAGAACCTAACATGTTTTTTCTATCACTAACCATTGTAAAACAAATCTTGATTCTCCATCTTATGGGCGCTTGATTCTGGTTTGTTTTGAGTTTCTGTGGGTGAAGATTTACTGTTTTGCTGGTGGCTTTTGAGTTATCTAGTGATTGCAGCTATCTCATGAATGCTTGCTAGTTCCAAGTTCTGTCAGGGTAGGATTTTGAGGTCTTAGGGACCACGTTACAGCGAAGAAGAACACTGTATGTTCTGTATAAGTTTTTCTACTTTGATATTTCCATCTTTGATTTGGAAATTGGCTGTTTTGCAGTGGTACCCAGCGAACAGTAATGTTCTCCTTATTCTTCAGTAGCACTTGTTGTGCAATGATATGTTCATACTTTCTCACTGTGATAGCAAAAATTAAGTGACAATCTCTGAAACCTAAATACCTGTCCCCCTTTGTCTCCTGAGTGGATTATTCATAAGTTTCGTTTTAGCTGAAAATTGTAGATAAATGTTCATGTCTCCCTTTGACTAAAATATATTGGTATTTTTTTAATAGTATTTCAACAGAGAGACATCGTGCTGAAGTTCGAAGAGCAGTAAATGATGAACGGCTAACGACTATTGCACACAAGTAAGTTAGAGGTCATTTCCTCCACGATTTCCAAAGGTGCCTTTTGGAAAATCCATTATGCCTTAACTGAACGATAGAACTTTCAAGATTGATGGTGATTTAAAGAGCAGTGTTTGACTGAAAGAATTACCGTATCAGATTTAGGTCAGGGTGCCAGAACGGTTTTAACCTTTTGGATCTCAGGGCATCCTGTTCACAATATGGCACAACATAGGGAAGAGTCAAGAGGAGCTTTCTGTAAAATAGACCAGAAGAAACAAAATAGAGAAAAGAGATAAAATGTAAACTTGATGAACAGCTTGCACAGTTTTTCATCTTTGTTTTATGATTGTTTCTGAGTTGAATTGTGTTTAAATGCATTTGTGAAGGTCGTATTAAGAGATACTTGTCCAACCAGAAAGACAAAAGGAAGGAAAGAGATGAGAGACACTAGTGGAAAACAATGCATTAGCAGCGAGGTGGAAAAAAAAGAACTGCAGCAAGCTGTCTGATGACATCAGTGTCCACTGTTCCCTGCTCGATGCAGCTGCTATGCTGGCATCACTTGGGCTGGTTTCTCCTTGCATTTGCTTTCCCAGGCTCCATGTGACTTTGGGAGGTGGAGAGGAGCAAGAGGACAAGCGCTTACGTGTCTCTGATAGTTAATAGTCTTAAGAAGTGTGCTGAAAGAGGGGTGGACTGTGATGATTCCCTATTTTCTTTCGTGTTATAACCACTGATTTTTAGTTTGCCTCATGTAACCTAGGTGTTATAATGAGGAAAAGAGAATGGAAATCGTGCAACTAACAAGCTTCTTGGAGTTAGCAATTGTCTGAACGTGGACTTGCCAAGATTAGCATACTGTGCTAGTGCTGCAGGATATTTAACATTTTAGTGGTTTAATGCTCATGTTTAAAGAATTAGAAATGTGCTGTTTACCAAACAAAAACCCACGGACTTCTTCACACTTCTTTAGAGAAAGAGAACAGATAATAAAAGAAAAATAAGCATTGTATTGTCAAGTCTGGCTTATTTCCTTGAATTAAGTATCCTTTTTAAGCAGTAGTTCTGTTTTTAGCATTTTCCAGAGCAAGAGTACAGTTTGTCCCGAAGTAGCGAACTTCAAACGGACGAGATATTGTAATCCAGGCAAGGTGCAACTGTAAAGTGCTGCATCTCTTTATTTTTTTCCCTCTGGTAAATTCTTTGTAAGTGATGGTTGGTAATGTAGTATTTGACTTAAATGATCTAACTCATTAGGAAAGCAGACTTTGCTAGCTTTGCTTTGCGCAACATTTGTAGTCTTATATTTGATTTAAAAAATGTGTTTTTACCTCAGCTGGTGCAGCTCTGCTTGTACTATGTGAATATGTATGAAGAATGCTGAAGCATATCAAGATTTAACAGCAGAGCAGATCCTCTGCATTTTATGAACTAATTTGTTGTAGCTTTTGCTGCAACTTGCTTGCAGTAGTTCATGTGGGAAGTTGTTTTTTGGAATATATTAATACATTAAATTGGTTGGTTTGTTTAAGAACAACATAACAGCATTGAAAAATAATCTGTCATTCTGATTTTACTGATTTCTCAAATGAGTGCTGTAAAACAGTTATAAGCAGGAACAGCTTTCTATCTAGGCAAGCATTTTTTGAAGCATTCTGGTTTGTGTGTAAGTACTAAGGTTGAGAGAAAATGAGAGGAATCACAGGATTGTAGGGGTTGAAAGGGACATTTAGAGATCACTGAGTCCAAGCCCCCTGCAAAGCAGGCTCCCTACAGCAGATCAGGGAGGAGCAGGCTGGATTCTGTAGAGAAAGATGTGCTTGAATCTTTTCATGTGCTATTACTTTGTTTGGGACTACTTCAATCAGTCTGAGAAATTTCTGCTGAGGTAAAACAAGAGTTGCATTAGAAGCTGAGATTTTTCTCTTGCAAGATAATCAGTTTTGGTAATCTTTCATGAAATCTATGTGATCTCTAGGTATTTTTGTCATCCGGAAATGGAGGGTAAACTAACTCTACCTGAATAGTAGATAATCTAATATGGGGGAGTTGAAAATGACATCCACAGCCCTGTAAGGGCTTTGTAAAACATCACGTTAAAAGAAGCAGCAACTCTTAGATATGTTATGGGAGGATTTCTGCATCAGCTGGGAAAAATGTAAGGGCTGTCATGAAAGGAAGAAGACTGGAGGTATTTCTCTAGTGTGTCTTTAGAAACAGCCTTTTAAATTTTCACTGTTGAAAAGAGGAACTTAAGTAAGAATGCTGAGTGTGTAGGAAAGTCAGCAGAGAAGTTAAAAGGTTTTCCTTTCTGTTTAGTATGTCTGGGCCAAACAGCTCTTCGGAATGGTCTATAGAAGGTCGTCGGCTGGTGCCGCTGATGCCACGGCTTGTTCCACAAACAGCTTTCACTGTTACAGCTAATGCAGTTGCCAACGCAGCTGTTCAGCACAACGCGTCTCTTCCAGTCCCTGCAGAAACTGGAAACAAGGAAGGTGAGAGAATGCTGAGGTTCTACACAAGCTATTCATGGTTTAAATTGTTTTCTTAGTGCTAGCTGCCTTAAAAATCCAAATCTTTCTTTTTTGAAAATGTACCAAGTTATAAGATTGATTTCTACTTTTCTTTTAAACAGTGCTATCACGTATTCTGTGTAACTTGGCTGGATGACCTTCAGCTATGCTTCATACAACTACAGGATGTGTAGCACTTCTTCAAAGAGGCTTTTTTTTTTCTGGTTTTCTAAGAACTGTTGGAGCATTGTTTTGTGACTTGAAAGTAAAGTTGAAAATAGCCATTACCAAAAATATTTGCTCATTGCTCAAGGAATGTTTTAATTTCTTCAAGTGATGTACATTTGAGGGGAGGCAGAAACTGTCTTCTGTCAGTTACCTATCTAGATAAAAATTTACAGAAATGAAAGAGATCATTATACTGAAGGAACACTAAAATTAAAGATAAATGAACGAACTGTAGTGTAAAACATCTGATTATTCTAAAGGAGGATGAAAAGACAAACCTTAGAAATGGCAGCACAAGTTTCTGGGTATGGGAGGAGAGGAGGGGAGGTTAGATTTCTCCTCTGAAGGCAGTTCATTCCATGGCCATGCTGAAATCAAACTTATGAGTATTCAACAATAACAGGATTGCAGAAGCAAGTAAATGCCCCACAATAAGTCTTTAGCTTGCATTTCAGTTGCTGAGATAGTGGTAGAATAATAGATTTCTGTGCTTCACTTATATGGAAGGTGTCTTTTCTCCTCTTCAGTGGTGGTTTGCTATTCCTGCACAAGTACCTCTTCAACCTCAACATCTACCCTTGTTCCCAGTTGCAATGTAGCAACAGTGAAGTCCCTTAGACCCACCTGATCAGTTTCCAGTATATTCTTGCCTAGTGGAAGTACTGTTTATGTCAAAAGTAAGTGATAATAGTAACTGATTAACAAAAGGCAAAAAAAAGGCCTATCTTGTGGCTGAAGTGTGGACTGAAATAGACACTCTAGCCTTGGGCAAGTCATTTAATGCCTTTATGCCTTAGTTTAGTCTAAAGAATGAGCATATTGCTTCCCTTTTCCAAAGTAATTACTGCAGGGAGCAGTAACAACAAGACTGTAAAATATTTTGAAAGTGAAGTATAGGCATTGCTTTGTATCAGTGGATTTCTAATCCAGCTTATTCAGCAGTTATCTTTAAGGTGGCCCTGCAGGTTGCTTTGGCAGAGGACTTCCCTCTTCCTTGTCCTGCTTAAGTATTGCAAATAGTCTCTTATTTGAGTTAGGAAGATCTCTCCTTCCCACTTCCACAGCTGATCTATGCATTATTTTGGAAATATTTTTGTGCCCTTATTTCAAAACCAGGCAGGACAGGGCTGTGAGCAACCTGATCTAGTGAGAGGTGTCCCTGCTAGTGGGTTGGAGCTAGATGATCTTAAAGGTCTTTTCCAACCCAAACCATTCTGTGATTCTATGATTTCAGTTAGAGAGCCGTTGTGCTTGTCCCCACTTGCTCTAAACTAGCCTTGCATTGCTTAAGAATGTGGCTTTTGGCATACTATGTTCAAATAGTAGCAGCTTGAGAGAATGCAAAGATTTCTAAGGTGTAACTCAATGGTTGAACACATTACAGTGTTTACTGCATCTAGTAATTCTGTGATTCATTTGGTAGCAAATTTTTTGTGAAGTACCTAAGCAACTTTGGAAATCCGATTGGATATGAGACCTCAACAAATATCCATCTTCATGTGTTTAGATTGGAAATGCAGCACATGGTGAATAGAAGCAGTCATTCTTCATGTTGTTTTGGTGGGTTTTTTTGTTCTTGTTTAATAAATGAGCTAGTTCCAAAAGCAGAGTAAGTCCTCATAAATACGTCCAAATCATCCGAGCTGGTTTTTATGTGAAATTGAAAGTGCTTTATTCTGATTTTATTTGAATTTTGATGCCTATCAAAAGGCTGATGACAAATCGAGATTAATAAACAAGTAGTTCAGAAGTGCTATTTGCTATTTGTATTGTTGTTATGGATAACTAACATTTTGAAAATTGATCTTAATGCAGTGTGTACGTGTTTGTGTAACATCTGCTAGCCAAAAGCAACAAACTCTACATGACTGCAATGCTACCTGCAATCATCTGTATTGATTGTATCAACCTACAAAACCCGTTAAGGTTTTTTTCAATTTTTCTGATTCATTGTGCTCATCACTCTGTTTTAGTTTAATGATTGAAGAGGAAAATGTTTTTCACCTCTTAAAAATTTAGTTTAGACTTACTGAATTATTACATGATAATGAGTATAAAACCAGTCTAGACGCACAATAGAGAGATGATAGGTTCTCATTTTTATTCCAGCCATTCTTAGTTGTTTTTTTTTTCCTCCCTTGCCACTTGCTTTATTTTGTTCTGTCTTTTAAAAGAATTGTCCATCTTTCAGAATGTGTTGCATCAGTCACAGCAGTTTTAACAAACTTGAACAAGAGTAAACTTGGACAAGCTGAGTTATAGTCCTGCCTTTGATCAGTCCGATCTGTTGTGACCTCACCCAAGTCACAGCCTGATTGAGCCATTAACTCCTCTGTTCTCTGCTGCCTTGCTTGTCATGTGTGAGTTACAGTCGAATTGCATTACTTCTGAGTTAAGTGCTTCTGGAGCACTTGGCAGAAGTACAGCTTCTAGCATGAAATTACAGGAATAACATTCTTACAAAACCCCAGCAGTGAAAATGAGAAATGAAATGAGCTGTACATAAGAAGAGGAGATAATATTCAGCTGGTTCAATCTGTTTAGTCTTTTGTTATTGTTTTGTGGAAGAGGGTGGATAAAAATACATTTTTATCTCCAGTATTTCTTTGTAATGCACAAAGGTAACAACTGTGTCCTAACGTGCAGGCTGCGTGTGTTTTTTTATTTTTTAATTGAGATGAATACTTCTCTCATCTCCTTCTGAAACTCCTGCCCACTTTCATTGTGATCGATGACTTTGCATTCATTGCAAGTTTACGAAGTGTACTTTGTGTAGTACTTAGAGCCTGTTGCTAAAAGATATTCATGGTATTCTAGGGATGGGGTTCACCTTTAGGCTTGTTCCGGTCCATAAAGGAAATTGTTTTGAGCCTTGACTTGTAGATCCGTGCTTAATCATGGTGTTTCAGTGTGCTGAGACTAATCTTTGAAGCTGCAAGCTTTTCTCTTGGTCAGTTTCCCATCCGTGTGTGGGGGCAACCATCAGCCTTCTGCGTGACTCTGCTGTGTACCTGCCAATGAATTGGTTATGGGCTAATACAGAATGCCATCTTTTGGACACCATTTGCTATGCCACTTGTCCATGTTCATTCCTGCATCTTTACTTTTTGAATGCCTGAATGTTTAGTTGTTAGATTGAGTGTAGTTAGATCCTGACCCTAATTAGAGATTGTCTGTCAACCATGTTTCTTTGTGTTACCAGCGAGAATGCTTTTTGCTATAGCTCTGTTTGCTGTCTGTAAGCCACAGGCATATAATACAAGATCTTCAATCTTATTCTGTAGAGGAGCATCAAGTCCTCCCTGTGTATGTTTTTACTGAATTTGTTTATCCCTGGCTATTTTGGTAAACATGCACGTTACCTAGTAACTAAGAATTTACGAGGTAGTTAAACTGTGTCTTTCTGCAATGCATATCAGTTTATGCACCTTTTGCCTGCTTAGGAAAATTTCATATGTATTTATGGTCCCTTGATCATGCTGTAGAATGAAATATTTCTTGCTCAGTTGAATGTTGCAGTAATTTGTTTCTACTTGTGCAGTCGGCAGTTGTGGGGATGAATGAAATTCTTTGAGGCTAGACTTGTTTTCTGTAATTGCATGCAAGGTGATGCCTTGCTATTGCACAAAATGCACCAGACTAAACTTGCAAAGTGAGGTTTAAGTATGTTATGAATGAAAGTGGAACATGAGATGCTATATTGATGTGAAAAGGAGAAAGGTACTGTAACAAAAAGCATGTTGTAACAAAAAGAATGTGCAGAGGTTGAAATCAGGAAAGGCTACAGGAGGATAAACTTCAGCTTTCCAGTAAACAACCAGCAACAGCAGTGTAGTATGAAGATTTAAACTGATGCTATCCTAACTCCCATGTATGTGCAGTCACGTTGGACTAACTTCTAGAGATAGAATGAAACTCCAGCACTGGCTCTGCATTCTTTCTGTCTTTTAAAAGGAGTGAAGCAGCCAAGCAAGGTTTTGGGGGTTATGTTTCTTTGTTTTCTGGCACTGTAAGTGGGGTCTTCATTAAGGACATAACACATCTATGATGTGTTGTGGGTTGGTTGTGACCATAAGATATAATTTATTCTCTGTTTCTTTTTCTTTTATTTGGAAATGTGTGCAAAGCTCAGTAAGTTTGAAGTGTTCTGGAAAGCACTGAGAGCCACAAGTAGGGGAAAACATAAATTTAGAAAAGCACTTCTCTTCCAGGTGTCAGCTGCTCAGATGATGATGAAAAGCCCCGCAAAAGACGGCGAACTAATTCTTCCAGTTCTTCCCCTGTTCTCCTGAAAGAAGTCCCGAAGGCAGTGACTCCTGTCACTAAAACAATCACAGTGCCTGTAAGTGGCAGCCCCAAGATGAGTAATATAATGCAGAGCATTGCCAACTCCTTACCGCCACACATGTCGCCAGTGAAAATAACCTTCACTAAGCCCTCAACACAGACAACAAACACAACAACACAGAAGGTATGTGGGGGAAGCTGCCAAATGTTACTTTATTTTGGTTTTATCAGTGAATAAGATGTGATGTTTGACTCTTCCTTTCTGTGAACTGTCTAGCTGTTTGGTTGTTTTTTTTTTGTTTTTTTTTTTTTTTTTTTTTTAAGGATTATGCTTGGGATAAGGTAATCCCTCTTTAAAACAAAGAGAAAACCAAACTCGTGTATGAATTTAGTTCACCTGTGTGTGAAAGGACCTGGATTGACGGCTGTGGAGACTGAAGCCCTCTTTTTATCCACAGAACAGGTACAGCACAGGCAGCGGGAGTGCAAGCTTCCCCCAGACTGCCCCACCAATGTGCCTCAACCCTGACCTGAAGGGACCACTTCTAGGGATGAGAGGGGATTCAGTCTCCATGCTCATTCAATTCTTGGCCTCTCTGGTGAGACTGCCAACAAGGTTGCCAGTTAGTACCATTTGTGGTGTTGGGTTTTGTGATATGGACACTGATCCACTGAGAACTGGATCACATAGGCCACTGAACAGCCTTCAGATGGTAACAACTATTGGTCAAAGGTAATCTTTCTTATTTCTATTTTCCTTACTTATAATTATTCTTTGCAGTAGTAGATTTCCAGGAGAGGTGGCATGGACTTTCCCTTGGCATGCCTTTTGTCTAGAGACTACAATCCGGGGGTCTATAAGGCTTGCCACTGGAGCTGATGGAAGACTGGGGAGGGCTTTGTTTTCCTTTTAGTTCTAGCGTGCAGTTTCTCATTCTACATGAACAGCATTTTGGTGATCAGATCAGTTTCATCATCTCAGCTGAGTATGCCCGGGTTCTGTGAGAATGCAGCATGTGGAGGCTTACCCATTTTGAAACTTTTTATTGGACTCAGATTTTATGTGGCTGTTCTACTGCATGACTACTTTCCCATGCTTAACAGTGCATTTCAGATCTGTCTGCTTTTTTGTCCTTAAGGTTTAAAAAAGATTAATGCTTCAGACCAAGTTAACTCTTGGCGCAGTTATTAATTAAGGCAGACTTGTGAGAGAGGCAAAAAGAAAAAAGAATTTGGCCTTGATACTGACAGGCTGGTTGTAGGCTGGCTACTGACAAGCATTTGTTTTTTTCCGACTATGAGAGTTTGACACTTGAACTCAAACCTTCACATGGGATAGTCTTGTTAATTGTTTTATTACTCTGGCTTAGCAGAGTTCCCATGTCCTGGGTTTGGAAACTTTAATAACAAGGACAATACAACTGAAGTAACATGCAATAAAGAACTTGCTTTCTGGCCTTTTTCCATTTCCAAGGTCTTTGTTTTCATTTGATTTACTGTTCTTTGACAGTGTTCTTAATCAGTCTTCACCTCGGAAAGACATGCATAGAAATCTGTGAGTGAGCATACATCACTAAACAGAACATCCTGCATTCACTGCAGCAAACACACAACTAGTTTAGAGCCTGACTAACCTACCTAGCCTGCTGCTCTTTTTAGGCTCACCTTTTGTGCAGGAAGATTTTTCTTCGCCCTAACTGCCCATGGTGTTACATATACTTGGTAGTTAAAACTGGAGTGTACTAAACCTGCAAAAGGAAGAGAAAGGACTGTCAGCAGAATCTTTTCTGCAGATGTGCTTTTGCTTCATTCAGATTTGGAAATTTTAGGTCTTAGTTTGCACATTGTGACTCTTGCTAGTCTGCAGCTATGGGAAAATCATTTGTTTCATCATAGTAGTGTTTGTGTCTGAGCTTGTCACACTGCCCTCTTTCGTTGGATTTAGGTATACTAAGATACATCACTGGATAAATTTGGTGGGAGAAATCCCAGTGTGCAGTTTTAAATTAAATGACAGACTTGTTAGACTCAAATTGGAACTGCACCATTTTAAACAAGTGCAGCTGGTTATGAGTGAAGTTGTTGGGTATGAATGAAATTTTTAGTTTCTACACGCCAGTTTTCAGAATTGTTTTGACATCTCAGTGGGTTGGAGAAAGACTTGCCATAACAACTAATAATGTCACAGCTCCAATTTCTGGCTTCTCTTCCTGTAATGAAATCCTCTGTGTAGGACACAGAAGGAATCTAGCTTCAGCTTCTGGCAGTTTGGTTCATTTATTTCTTCAGGAGCTGGGTTTTGATGTTTCTCAAAATAGGGCTGATAGGACTAAATACAGTAAATGTTAGGAATTTATATCTTACTGTAACAAAAGCAAAAAAAAAAAAAAAAAAAAAGCAACTTGCTCTTGGTCACTAGTCAGTCTTTCTACTGTGGAAAGATATGCAGTTCTGGTGACAAGTTAACATGTAATCACAGGATATCCTGAGTTGGAAGAGACTGAGGATCACCGAGTCCAGCTCCTGGCTCCACCCAAAACCCAAACCCTGTGTCCCTGAGCTCTGGCAGCTCGAGGCCATGGCCACTGTCCTGGGCAGCCTGTTCCATGCCTACCACCCTCTGGTGCAGAACTTTTTCCCCACACTCAGCCTGATCCTTCCCTGGCACATCTCCATGCCATTGAATGTTTGGACATGTTAAAATATAATATTTCAAAGACATAATCGTTGCGATTTAAGTTTCAAAATTTGAAATTTTTTGTTTTTAGATCAGAAGATTCTGCTTGTTATATTTCATGCGGGAAGATCACTAATCATCATTGCGTTTCTTCTCCCAGAATTAACACAGCAGAACATAAAGATCCAAATCTGCTTAGTCACAGGACAGCAGTTGATTTTGAGCTGTAATACGTGACAAGACTTTTCCCCTTGCATGATTAAACAAAGTCGTATTATGTAATAACCTCTAACTGATGGTTTTATCTCTTGCTTTGATTGAAGAACAACACTGTTCAGGAGTTGTGATTATATCCAGATGCATCCTGCATGTTCATACTTAGCTGAGATGTTTAATGCCCTGTTGCACTAGGAATTACTTAGGAAGATTAATATGAATAATCTTCCTTCATAACCTGCAACTTGTCGTGGTGCTCCTAAATTAGTTATCCTATATGGAATGGAGCTGGCCCTAATATTCAGAAACTATTATTTCTAGTGCCATCTGACTATTGAAGAAACAAAATTAAACTCTGATCACACCTTAGGGTCTTTTCCACATGCAAGATTAGTACCAAAATTGAGCTTATGCAGTGTTCAGCATGTGTATTTGGCCACAGCCCAGGAGCAGTTTCAGAAGAGTGTTTTGATTAAATTGCGGTTAGACAGAAGGCGAAAATAAGGGTGGCACAGCAAAAGCATTCTTCCTGGAGTAAGAAATGAGGAGGTGAAGTAGTGGGTATGGAAAATTTATCCTTTGGGTGATGGTGAGGTGTGGTAAATGTGCTGTCATTGGTGGAGGTAGTAAAGTTTTGTTTTTCCTCATGTCAAAATGTTTAAAAACTCAGTTAAGTAGCAGGGATCATAAAAGTAGTGGGGAGAAAGGAGAGGCAGAGGCAACCACAGTGGTGAAATTTGCTGTCTTGATTCCATCCATTCCATCAATTCAGAGCAAGATATCAGTAGCGTTGGGAAGTAGTATAAAACCTTCAAATTATTCTTGCCAAGATTTGATTTTCTCCTTATGTACCTCTTTTCTATTTGATTTTGTTCTGTGAAATCATGACTAAGTTTTAAATTTATAGATTTGTAATAAATGATGTGGGGGTGATTGGATTATTGAAACCGTTTCTTGAAGTTCCTGCATGGCAAACTGCGTTGTATTTCTGTCCTGTGTGTTTCAATTTCAACGGTGTGTTTGTAAATGCAAGGAGGTAGGAGTAAACAGAATAGCACAAACCTCCTTACATAAGCAGTTCCCATCTTAAAAACGTAAGAGATGGGCAGTTTTCTAGGTCAGTTGCATAAGGACAGACCTCTTTCTGTGTATGTCAATGTCAAATCAGAGCATGGCCTTGTAAGTGAAGATCATACTAGGAGTAATGCTTATTGTCTTCAGACAAATGGTTTTCAGGCAGATATGAATGAATTTATTGTTACTGAGGACTCTAATTAAAACAAATTGTTTCTGAACCTAGAACAGATTTTTCACTGATGAAATATTGATTGCTTACATCCTTGTGGATCAAAGATACTTTCCTATTTATTCCCAGTAATTTCCCATTACTGACTCAGCAGCTGTTAGTTGTTGAAGAGAAAAAGACATTTCTTTATCCTCTTTATTTCCATTTCTTGATATTTGTGCTAGATTAGAGAGAATGATGTTTAAAACTTACTTGAACTCCCTGTTGTTTTGTTCAAAATGGGCTTCAGGCTTCCTGGCTCGGTTAACAGAACTGAGTTCTTAATTCCTACTGTCTGTTTGCCTTCAAACAAGCAATTGCTATCTAATTAAAATAGAATTATCTCTAAAAAACAAAACAAAACAAAAGCCTTCTAAGGAAATGTTTATAACCGTCTTTTCAAACTAAGGGAAATTTTTAATTGCCAGCAAACATGATTCACACTTTTAAATGGTCTTGATAAACGTGTATCCCAGAACTAAATGCTCATACACCAGTATGTTACTGAAGTCTTATGCTTTTTGTAAGTGCAAAGAACACATGAATTTCTTCTTTCTTTTTTTTTTTTTTTCCCCTCCTTTCAGGTGATTATAGTAACCACATCTCCAAGCTCAACTTTTGTACCCAACATCCTTTCCAAGTCCCACAACTATGCAGCAGTTACAAAACTTGTTCCAACATCAGTCATCGCCTCAACTACTCAGAAACAACCGGTGGTTATCACTGCTTCTCAGTCCTCTCTGGTCAGCAGTAGCACCAGCAGCAGTAGCTGTTCCACTCCTTCCTGTACTGCAAGTACAATTGCTGTGACTGCTGTGGTATCATCAACGCCATCTGTGGTCATGTCAACGGTAGCACAAGGTATGATGAAAACGTATGTTTAAGAGCTTTTTTGCTGATTGCTTTGAGAACAGCATAGAGATGAGGTTTATGTTTACATATGCTGAGTTCGAAAGAGGAGTTGTTAAAAACAAACACTCCACTGATGAAATTAATCCAAGGTACTACAGAGGAATTCTTGCTGGACACAGCTCTTTTCCTTCTTCAGCCACTGATGTGTAAATTCAGTTATTAAAGAGAATCTGATGAGGCAGTGTGGCAAAGCTTTTAGTTCTGAGGTAAAAAAAAAAAATTTCTTTGGGCATTAAAACATTGCCCCAGAATGAGTGTTTTCAGAGAGCTCTGTCTGATTCACAAAGAATGGGTATTTCCAGGATCATTTCAATACCGTGTTGATTGCTTCTCTTAATGCCTTCACAGAAACATGGAAAGTTCACACCGAGTAAATTAAGCTTATGCTTGACATACTCAGTATTGTAATACTCATGAAGTATTTTAGAATAAAAATATTCTAAAAAAGGCTTATACATTTTATCTTCATATTTTATTGACTTTCAGGTCCTTAATCTTAAGATCTGAGTGAGCCTGAATTTAAAACACCTGAGTTGCTGGTTTCTCTTTCCATCTATGCCTGCTAGCATGATTGATTCAACTCTGTGCCCGTTGGCTGTCTCTTTGGGTGGGAAGGTGTGAGTGACTGAGGGGACCTCAGTGACCACCACTTGCTGTTCCTGACAGTGACAATTGTTGTGTAGCGTTTCTCTTGGTCTGTATTTTTCAGTCCATTTTTCAGTCCACAAAAAGTTGCTGAGCCAAATGAAGGCTCAGGAGGTATTCTGCAGTCCATATTGCATGCGTTAATCAAATCCTTAAGGTGTGTCAGTGATCTACAGCACACAAGAGCTTACAGCAGCGTTTCGTATTGAACCGTGAATTTTTAATTGGATTTGATCTCGGAAGTGGCAGCTACAATTCAAAAGTGACTGATGCAGGTTAAAGATTCGATGTAATTACGAAAGATAAAACGTTGATGAAATGTTGTGGCAAACTGATAATGGCTCCCACCATGGAGAAATGAAATCAGTAAACAAGAGCGACTGACCGAGAAAGGGAGAAGCTGATAGGTCATGCAGTGAGAAAAGGGTTGCTTATTTAGATTGTCAGAATTCTAGGTTGCTCTGTTAGTGTTATAGCTGTCTATAACTGTAGAGGAAAAGTAAGAGAGGAGAGTAAAGCCTTCTGCTTTAGCACGGACTTGATTGGAAAGTGCCAATGTAAGACATGAACTTTGTCTTTCTCAACTCTTTTTGAAGGGTGGATAACAGCAGGACAAGGGGAAATGGTTTGAAGTTGAAGGAGGGAAGATTTAGGTTGGATGTCAGAGGTTGGATGTTGGATTATAGAGAGAGTGGTGAGGTGCTGGGGTTGTGGATGCCCCATCCATCCCTGGAGGTGTTCAAGGCTAGGTTGGATGGGGCCCTGGGCAGCCTGGTCTGGTATGAAATGGGGAGGTTGGTGGCCCTGCCTGTGGTGGAGAAGTTGGAGATTTCATGATCCTTGAGGTCCCTTCCAACCCAAGCCATTTTGTGATTCTTTTTTGGGGCTTGCGGATGTACAGTACAGAATTTGAGGTAAAGCCCAAATTTGCTGGAAATGTTCTGACAGCTCTGCCAGCTGTGCAAGGAAATAACCTAAATGCTTATGCATTCAGGAGATTTTTTTTCATCTGACTGCACCACTTTATTACTTGTAAGATTGTTTAACCTTTCATCAGAAAAAAAGTATGTTCCATACTTTTCTAAATCTCATACCATTACTTGATTCATTTTTGTAAGATAATTTTTTGTTCACTAATGGATATTTCCTTATAATGATGGATTTGACATTTGTCATTCTTGCGTTCTAGCTTGTTGCAGTCTTGATTTTTATTCACTGTAAACATTTTGCTTTATTGAAGATTGAAGATCTGGCTTTGAAAAGATTCATGAAGTTATTTGTACTACAAAAGGTGCAGGAAATAGGCTAGAATTGTGGTCTTCATGTTAGTTGCCTGAAGATATCCTACTGTCACATTGAAAGCCTGTATAAAGCTCCCTGGACACTAAACAGGGCATTTCTGGCACAAGTACTATTTTTTTTTTAACCATTCTGTATTTATTGGCATTCTTCAGTAGTAAAGGCAGTTTAAATGAAAGAGTATATGTATAAAGAAATCATACTTTTCTTTCACGTTGCCCTGTTAAATCCCAAACCATCTACTCTTTTGCAGGTGTATCCACATCGGCGATCAAAGTAGCCTCTACCAGACTTCCATCCCCAAAAGGTTTGGTTGGGAATCCAACGCAGATCTTAGCACAGTTCCCCAAGCAGCATCAGCAGTCCCCCAAGCAGCAACTGCACCAAATGCAACAGGCCCAGCAGCAGCAGCCACAGCAGCAGCAACAGCAGCAGCAGCCACAGCAGCAACAACAGCAGCAGCCACAGCAACAACAGGTGGCACAGTCTTCTGTAGCTCAACAGCAGCCCCAGCAATCTCAGTTTCCACCTGGCATCAAGCCCACCATTCAGATCAAACAGGAATCAGGTAGTTGGAGTTAATCTTGAGTTATATTGCCAACTGTGATCTACTCCCAAACCTCAAGAAAGCAGGGGCCAGATTCTATCCCAAACATAGAGAAGGAGCTGTGAAGGCGTAGCTGCTTAAGGACAGTATTTCAAAATTAAATAATAGAGAAGAATGATATTACTTTGTCAGCTAACAATAATTGAAGAATTTGGTTCTGCCATTCTTGTTTGGTTCAGGTATTGCAGACCATACTGCAGAGTTACTGCAGAGTAAGTATTTTATCATTAGACATTGAAAGGTATGTAATTATCTTGAAAAGTAACTTAGTTGAAACACGAAGACACCGATTTTCTGAAGATCCAAGAGCTGTTCAGCTGTATCAACTGGAGGAAAAAAAAATTAATCCTTGTTTCAATTCTTTTTTGTGGTCCAGAAATTGAGATCTATTTTTGAGGTACTTGTCACAGCAAAAATACAATTAGATCTGAGTCTGGGAATTGATCTTAATTCTTTTTGTAATGTTGACTCGTTCAGTTGACTTTGGGCAAGTTGCATAATCTTTCTTCCTTGGCTTCACTTTACTGTAAAATAAGAAGTAATTCTTGCAAAGTTACCAAATTCTAAAACAAAAAGTGCTATAAAAGTGCAAAGTATTTTTAAATCCATGTTTTATATTAATAATGTGATTGGTAAAATTATTATTTTGTTTGTACTGTTTAGTTAAAAAAAAAAAAAAAATTAAAACAGGCAATGGAATGAAGAAACAAACAAACCTACCCCTGTCCTTTAATAAACTTCTTGGATTACACCACCTCTGCCTAGGAAAAAATGCCCTGTAATGAAGACAAATACGACACCTCCATCCTCCAATTACAAAACAGTGCTTCATCAATAAGAGCTTCACTCTGTGCCTTTTACTGTGGTTTTAGACTCAGAGTGCTTTTTAGTTTAAATTTCTTTGGAAATGCCATTTGATTCTCAACCTATTTTCTCTGGCAGATGTGAGCTGATTTTCTTGAGGGCTTGGCTTTTTATCCAGTGTTGTGTCTGGATGATTCAAAGGCTTCAGTTTTTCCTTCCTGATTTGGAGCTTACATACTCTGTACTGTGCTTATAGTCAATGCAGAAGAAGCAAACATCTCTGGAGGATGTTTCATGGCCTGAAAATTGCTCACCTACAAACCTTTGTGTACAAATACAAATGCCTACATTTGGGTGGGATTCATTTAGGCTGGGTGTTTTGTAGCACTTAACCAACACAGTGGAATCTCAACACAGAACTTGACCACCTGAGAAACGTGCAGCCTGGATAACTTTTGAGCAGACAGCAGTGACCTTTTGGTTTGCAACTGAGAAGTGAATCTCACACATCTCCCATTCTTCTTCGATAACTGAGTGAGAGTGAGCAAAATTATTGCCATAATGAGGTGTCCCCATCCTTGCTACTTCTACTCAGAGTTTGTTTCAGCCCAGTTCCTCTTAATGTCAAGATAACCAATAACTGGAGAGATGATACTTTGCTTAAAGCAACCTTCTATAGCCAATGTTACATTAGTTCCTTACACCCAGCTGAACTGATTGCGCAGGAAGCTTTTTTATGTGTTCACAAGGATGGAATTCAACTGGGCTGTTTAAGACATTAAAACTTAACAGATTAAATTTATGGATTACTACTTCCTATTTAGATACTTAACGGTACATGAAACAATTTGGTATTGGTTGTAACCTGTTGGCCTGGGAAACGTGTTCTAGTTTTTGAGTCATAAACTTGAAAAGATTAAAAATCAATGAAACAAATCAGTGGTAGAATGTAATCCTGGGACTCAGTGGGAGTCGCTAGGAATTGAAACAGGCACATGAAAGCAAAGATGATGAATATCTTATTTGCAAAGAAATATAAAAAAAATAATAATAACAACCAAACCCAACCAAAAAAAAAAAAAAAAAAATCACCCACAAAACAATAAGCAAACAATTAAAGAAAACAGCCCAACAAAAGAAGAAAAGTATTTTCACAATCAAGAATAAATGGGCTCAGAATAGAAGCCTTGTGAGGCTACCTGCCCACTAGGGCTCAGTCTGAGAAAGCATTTCAGGAAGTAACTTTTCGTGCCTGTATTTTAACAGTAACCTTTCTCCTTTCCTAGGTGTTAAAATAATCACTCAACAGGTGCAGCTCAGTAAAATCCTTCCCAAACCAGTTACAGCGGCATTGCCCAGCAGTAGCAATTCACCTATTATGGTGGTTAGCAGTAATGGGACTGTCATGACAACTAAACTGGTCACTACTCCCTCTGGTAAGTTATGATTTTGAGAAGGGAAGGGAGGGTAAACCCAGGCATGCAGGCAGCAAAACATGGCTTGCTAGGGGGAAAAAGGTCACTTCTCTCTTGTAAACAGTGAGCACAACATCACATTCACAGACCTGGATCATTATGCTAGATAAGGATTTTAGCTCTTTCATTCCTCTTGTGATCTCTTTGCATTAATGCAGAAAACAATGAAAATTCCATCCTCATTGAGTTGATTTAAATATATATATATATATTTCTATATGTATATATATGTTGTTTTGGTTTTGTTTTTTTTTTGCAATGCGCTGATACTTTGCACTTCTGTAGCACCTTACATTAGACAATTTACATTAGTGTGTTTCTTTTTTTTTTAGGTGTCTCAAGTAGGTAGGTCATCATCATTTCTGTTTTAGACACATGGCTTTTAAAAGACAGATATCTTGCTCATAGTCTTGCCAGAAAACTCAATTTTAAAATCCCATTTATTTTTTTTTTTTTTCTGGAGATCTAATTGTATTTGTGTTTTCTTATTCATGGAAGATCAGCAATAATGCAGATGGTGCAAGTTATAATCTTGTATGAGGAAAATGTGCAAAGGAGTTCTATCCCAGTTTTCTGAATTTTTAGAATGAGCTGGGATTATTAGCTTATGCTGATAGTTAAGAAGAAACAAAAACCTATAACTCCTGCTTCACACAAACATTTCCAAGCATATAACAAAGAATTAACAGTTTTGCAGTTCTTTTAATTTGTATAACCTTGTTCTGCTCTCTTAGATTTGAACATATGGCTTTCTTGGTAAAGCAAGTTGGTTTTCTCTATGATGTTTAGCAATTAATGTCTGTAGCAAATTATTGGCAGCAGCACAAGCAGAATGGAGTTGTGTTCATAGTCTAGCTATTGACTCCTGTTATTATTTTGAGCATGTTCTTCTGTGCACTCTCACCTCATTCTGTTCTGAGTAGGTAGAGGAAAATAGGATTTAGCTAAGCACTAAATCTATGCAATTGTATTATCACTGTAAATTACACTTGGGTCTAAATATATCTCTGAGGGAAGTAATTACTCATGTTCTTAAATGATTTGTCTCTTGGGCAAAATGGGAGTTCAGGCCTCCTTCAGGAGGAACAGAAATCAGTTCTCATGGTTTTATCAAAGAACTAATTCTTGGGGGTCTAGCAGAGTAAATGGCAAAATTCAGGTAGAACCTGTGCACGTACTGAAAAGTAAAATTTTGGGAACAAGGACACAAGTCAGAATGTGTCAGTCATAGAGCATGTAGTGCAGTATTTCACAAAACTTTATGCTAATTTAAAGATGGCATGTACTTGAATATTGCTTTGCGTGTTTAGAAACTACCTACAGGTTCACAAGGAGTTGCAATAAATTGCAGTCCAGGGTCTCTCTGAATACAATGTAGTGCTTTTCTTCTAATATATGTATTTTTTTTTCCCCCACCTTACAAATAATAGGGAATTATGTTTTAACAAAGAACTGCTGTTTTTGTCTTTTGTTCTTTAACACAGGAACTCAAGCAACATACACACGGCCGACGGTCAGCCCCTCTATAGGGGCTCGGATGGCTGGAACTCCAGGGGCTGCAACTTATGTGAAAACCACGAGTGGTAGCATCATTACAGTAGTACCAAAATCACTGGCTACTCTGGGAGGCAAGATTATCAGCAGTAATATTGTTTCTGGTAGGCATATGAGTTGGTTTTGTTTGGTTTTTTTTAGTATATTAGGACTGAATTCACAAGTAAGTCCATACTTGCTCAGATTGTTCAGGGCTTTTCTGTGGATTGCATGCTTAAATAATGTATAGGGCTTTTATTGGAGGGGTTAACTCAGAAGAAAAGTAGCTGGAAGTGAAGATATAAATAGCAGGTAGAAGGTATGGATTCTTTTGTACCTAGGTAATTCAACAGCTCATGCTGCTGGTTCTTAGCAGAATCCCAAAGTACCACCAGCCAGATCCTGGCACTGAAAGGCACAGCAGAGGCTGAGGTAAAGCCATGCTGGAGTGTAGTCTGGTAGACATGCCTCAATTTTTTTTAATCTTAATTTCTGCAAAATCTTATTTAGGGCTAATACGGTAACTTCTTTATCCTGTTGCAGGTATGATGGGTTCTTAAGGAGATTTCTAGATAGACTAACAAGTTCATAAACAAAAGAGAGTATTATTGTTCTCCAGAGCAGCAGACTATGCAGGGAAGCCCTTACTTGATCTTGGTGAGGATTATACCAGTTTGTCCTGATATTACACAAGTTTAAAAACTATATCTGCCTTTTTATATATACTTTTTTATTTCATGTTCTTTTCCTTTTCTGCTAATGGAGCAGCCAGCTAAAGGCTTCCTAAGCTAAGAAAATAATGGTTGTGTCTCAGCAAATCTTCCCTATCTCCGAATTAGTACAATTATTGATCTGAACTATATAGTGAGGCATCTGCAGGCATGACTAGTGGGTAGAAGGTAATGAGAGGAATTCTTGGGATTGCAGCTGTGATGACTGAGCAGTATTTTCTGCAGAGGGAAAATGGTAGGGGTGGTTAAAAACAAAAAAAGGCTGTCTGAGTAGATTTGAAACGGCAGTCTGATAATTAATGACTTAAGTATCAGTGTGTGTACCATTGTAGATTGCGGAGGGTGGTCCAGCATTGCCTGCTGTGCAGGTTGATGCAGGGAATGGATCTTAGTACATACTGGGAGAGGGAGAGAAATAACCAACACAGCTCTTTGAAATAAATAAAAATAAAAATGGTTGGGAACTCAACTTTCAAGAACCGATTTTAAAACAATAGCATACTTTTCTTAATTTTCATTTTTCCTGCAATCTACTATTAGTCACTTACATTGCAGCAGCTCAGTTCTAGAAAGAGATGGCTATTACTGAAACACACAGGTTCTTCTGCCTAAGTTATCTGTTTGAGTTCTGAAGTCATTTAAGTCAGCTCTTATCTGTGCATGTAGGACCTTGACTTGAGTATCAGTATTGCCCTTATCTCCCCTAACTGTAGCTTTTGAGAAGTTAGATGTATTATCCTGAGAAACTTGCATTAGTCTTTTCTGTAATTCATGAGAAGAAGCTGTCTGTTCTAATACAGAATGAACTGCTCTTGTTCAGCACATGCCTGTTTTGCCTGTAGACAAAAGATTCACAGAGCAAGCAGTTGATCTTTATATGTTGAATTGGGTGGCATAAATTCCCATTCCAGATGCTTTCTTTGTTGTGCTGTAAGATTTAAATACAGTTATTTCTATGCAGCCAACTTCTAAAGTGAAAGGAAATATATGTGGGATAAACTTCACATTCTTTCTTTTCTCATTAAAATTTAGGAACTACAACCAAAATCACTACAATTCCAATGACATCCAAACCCAATGTGATTGTTGTGCAAAAGACTACTGGAAAAGGAACCACAATTCAAGGGCTTCCTGGCAAAAATGTTGTCACAACATTGTTGAATGCTGGGGTAAGTAAGACTTTAGAATTAAAAGATCTATGGTCAAATGACAGATTGTGCTAGCTGCTGTGCTCTTTCTGCTAAAGTCCCAATTAAAAGCCAATTTTGCATGAGCTTCATAGCAGATACAGCATGCCTTAATTTCAAGGAATGTTAGAAGAAAAAAATATGTTTTGCAGGTTATTAAAGATATTTAAAACAAGCTGGGATTGTTCCCAAAGTTAAGTAATGATTCACCCTTTTTTCCACTTGTTTTATAACCCTGAAGAATTAAGCAGAAGTAGACTCTCAATCTGTTAATGCTCCAATGAGAGCCTTAGACGTGTTACAAGCTTTCATTTCTGTGTCTCTTTTGGGCAGAAATAAGCTGTTCCTTTACAGTAAAGGTACCACATTTGATTTCCTGTTCCTGAGTACTATTAGTTCTTGAATAACATGATGTGTAGTAAAAACAGAATCAAGTTTCCAGATGCAGCTGGATTTTCCTTCACACATTATGAACCCGCTTTTCATTCATAGCTAGAACTGTGAGATTAAATGCTTTAATTGGGTTATCTTTTAAAGTTTACTTGGCTAGCTGAGCAGGAATCTTTTTGAAACTTTTCAGGACATATTTTTTTGAAAATTTCAACTTTTCTGGCTTAAACAAGAACAAAACCTATGTTCTTAAACAAGAACAAAGCTATGTTTTCATGCAGATAGGAATCTCATGATGTTACACAATAGGAGACACCAGACTGTGGTATTTCAGAAAAAAAAACCAAAAAGTATGGTTGTTGGAGTTTCCATCTACTTGGTGGGAATGTGTAGAAGTACTGAGAGAACTGGCAACTAACGTGGTTCCTCATGTAGTTTCTTACTGTGCAGAACTTGAAAAGTATGTTCAATTTCCTTGCTGTTCTTAAGCTATCAGGAGTTTAGTTATACATCAGCAATATCTCAAAATCAAATGTTTCCCGTGGAACAGCTGTGAAAATGCATCTTTAAAATAAAGGAACTTTTAGTTTAAAAACAAACAAACCAAAAAAAAACCCCACCCAGATATAATTAATATTTTGGGCAGGAGGATAACGCAGATTTATATTTATGTCATTTATTTATAGTTTTCCAATTCGAATTTCATAGATGTTGTGCCAAAATTAGTGTTGGTAGAAATAAGAGGCTTTAAATAAACATTTGCAAATGATTTGAGGAAAGTTCCAGCTTAGGTGAATTCTTTGGAGCAACTTCAAGAAATTTGTCAGTGTCATTTAGTTACTCTTTGCTCAACCCTTCAGAGCAGTTCTAAAGATAAAGTAATGGAAAAGAGGATTTTGGTATTTTTTCCATTCAAAGCCATAGGGTTTTTTAAGTCGTGGATGTACTTTGTATTAAACACATCTAGTTCTAACAGCAGTAGGTTGATTCTGTGGTATACACACTCACCAATAACTGTGTATTTTTTTAGAGAAGCGGGTCTCTCTGAAGAACTTCACTCAGTTAACCTGTAAACTTTGACTTCTCTACAGGGGGAGAAAACTGTTCAGGCAGTGCCAGCAGGAGCAAAACCTGCTATCATCACTGCCACGAGACCCATCACAAAAATGATTGTTACACAGCCAAAAGGAATAGGGTCCACGGTCCAGCCAGCCACCAAAATCATCCCAACTAAAATTGTTTATGGTCAGCAAGGGAAAACGCAGGTACAGTGAGGACCCATTTCTGTTTTGAAATGTACCCCTAAATTTTAATGGGAAATAGATCATTTTTCACTGTGTTGCCACAACTATTGTGAGATTAATATATGCGGAATGTGTCTATGGGGAATGAGACTTAAGAAAGTTATGAGGTGGCCTTGATTCTGGCTTCTTGAGCACAGTGTTGGCATTTGTTAGCTATTCTTGGAGGCATAGAATAAGTTGAAAAGAATTATTAAGCCTGTTACATAGCTGAAATTTAAGATGTCTGGTCATGGCTCTGGAGGCCTCTTTTAAGTCTTAAAGCTAATGACTAGATCATTAAAAGTAAAGATGTGGAGACTGAACCATAGGTCATGTGTCAAATGAGAGAGTTTTATTGAAGCTGTTCTATCATTGATGTATTTTCACATTTCCCCTACAGTCTTGTATTGTTGGCAGGGCTGTAGACAGAGAATCTGGCTTTTGTCTGGATGCTCCCAGTTTCAACTTTTTTCTCTGGTTGCTTTTTGTATATGAAAGTGCTAAAAGCAGGTGTAATATTTTGTGTGTCTTGAGCGTTCTAGGCTATCGTGGGCTAAGGAAGAGAGGTGTTTGTCCTTACCAATGCAGTGCATGTTCCAGCTCACTTACCTAGCTTTCTCTTGTCCACATCACTGTGTCCAGCTGCGAAGAATGACTGCTTAGTGCTTTATTATGTTAAGTGCTCAAAATTACTGAGAAGTACATTCTTGTGCAGTGCCATTTACTGGGACTTCATGGTTTAACAATCAGAGTTGCTGAATTTGCAGGTAGACTGCTTTTAGCAAGCTATCAATATTGTCTAAGTCTTGTACGTAGATCTCTTTTAGTGGCACACTGTTCTCTAATTGCTCAGATCTGTTTTCATGAGTGCTCTTACTGTATGCAATCTGTCTTTCTAACCAGGTTCTCATAAAACCAAAGCCAGTGACATTTCAAGCAACAGTTGTGAGTGAACAAACTAGGCAGTTGGTAACTGAAACATTACAGCAGGCGTCAAGGGCAGCAGAGACAGGAAATTCATCTCTTCCAGAAGTGAAAGAAGAACCACAAAGCTACACTGATAGCAGCTCTTCTTCTACAGAGTCCTCACAGAGCTCCCAAGGTATGCATCAGTGTTTCCTAAAATAGGAGTGGAGTTTCTCCCAAGCATGCTGATTAGTTTCACATAACTCTGTGCATCTCTTCAGCAAAGTTCTTCATCTAGTCTGCTGTCACTGAGCGTCATTGTCACTTCCCTGATGGATATATTCCTCTTGTATGAGCTACTTAATAGATACATCATTATCCTTTGTGAAAAATAGAAATGATATTTACTTTCTGGGCTCTTATACTTGGTCGTGAAGACAGTGTAGCCACCCTCCTTCAAGCTGTGATACAGATGCAGCTTCTCATGTGAAAGAATAGGATAAATAATAAATGTATTTATAAAGTAACTAACACTCAACCTTTTGTCTGAAGTGACCGTAGAGTGTATCATTACACTAAATAAAAGGAAATATCTCTCAGTAAAACACACTTATTTATCAATCAGTAACCTTTTGTGTATAATACTGTAACTTTTGGTTTATACTGTCATTTTCAATAAAGTTTTTTTTTAAAAAAAGACTGAAACTTAAAAGATAGGCAGTGCAAATTCAAAATGCTGAATGCATGTTGATAAACTTGAACTATGAAAACCTTCAAGGTGAATTCATCATGCAAAGAGAGATGCTGAACTTTGATTTATCAAAGCTTTGGTGAAGAACTAAGAAATAAGATCTTAGTAACTTGATAACATCAATTGTGTTTTACTTTGGGTCACTTGTAATTAAAACTAAACAAAAGCATTGCAGTATGAGGCTTTGCATCCTATTAAAAGTTCAGAACGAAAGAATAATGGTTAATGTAGTTTAATTTTGAGCGCAACTGTTCTTTCAAGCAAGATGTTGGACAAGAGACCTCCAACCCGCTTGGTTCCATGATGACTTCATGTGTCTTATGGGTTTTTTTGTCAACAGATTCTCAGCCTGTAGTCCATGTGATTGCTTCCAGAAGTCAAGATTGGTCAGAACATGAAATAGCTGTGGACACCAGCCCTACAATAATTTACCAGGATGTATCCAGTGAATCTCAGTCAGCTACTTCCACGATAAAAGCTTTGCTAGAACTTCAGCAGACAACAGGTGTGGAAATGCATGTGGTTGGTTAGGATTACTTCAGAGCACTGAGCTGCTATTTGCTTAAGCAGCAGTTTGTAATAAATTTTGTAATTGAAAAGTACCTACCTTAAATCAACTAGTTTTTTTTCATTTCTACACTATAAAAGCTCTTTTGAAACAATTATGTAACATGCATAATGTATTAAACTATTGCTTTTATACTGGAGATCTGTTTTAATGCATCCTGCTTTGCTTTTCTTTGAAAGCAGTGAAGGAGAAGTTAGAATCAAAGCCAAGGCAGCCTACGATTGACTTGAGCCAAATGGCTGTCCCAATACAGATGACCCAAGAAAAGAGACACTCTCCAGAAAGCCCTTCAATTGCTGTAGTAGAATCAGAATTAGTTGCTGAATATATCACAACTGGTAAGTGACTCAGACAGTTGATTGTGATTTTGTAATTGAAGTCTTGGGACTTTATTTTGGAGTTTTCTTACGGTGGAGTTTTCTTCCACTTGTATTTTACTGTAATCCTCCAGTGAAGGAATGAGTGTTTTCTTCCACTACTAAGACTCTATGCAGAGAGGGGCAGAAAATGCATCTGCTTTTCTGGAACATGCTGGAGAGTGCTTTTAGTTGAAACAAATGATTCTTGCTTCAAGGCATTATAATTAAAGAGACATTCTGTCCTCTGATTAGATGGTGAGGAAACACTGCCCTTCTTGTCTTTAGGGAAAACATCTAGTAAGAAAGAAGTAGAAAATGAAGTTACAGGAACTACACTTATTTTTTACTTCATCCATACTGGCAAAATTGTACTTGCTTACAAGCACAAAGTATGTTGTTTTGGCCAGGTGTGCTTTTGGCTTCCTAATGCAGTTCCCAGCTTCTTCATTTGCCGGAATGATTTGAACTGCTAAATTTGCACTTCTTACAGAAATGGTTTAAACTGAAATTATATTTGGGAGACAACTCTTACCTTCTGTATTTTATTTTTTTAACACTTGAATCCTCCTATCTGGATGTCATTTTTGTCTCAGCCCATGACTCCCTTCCATTGGACAACTCTAATTATGCCATGTCTCTCTGGATGCTCTCTGCTACCTTAAGAATCCTCCTTATGAGCCAGCTTCACACATGAGGATCAAATTACTTGATTGAATTTCTTAAGTCCACATTGTTGGTCTACTTACTGTATTTGGAAAATGAAAACGTGAAAATATGCATTGAGGGAGTGAAATAAGTATGTGTCTGTAACTTCAGTGTTTGTACCGTTAAATGTCCAATCTGATTTCTTTTCATTTTTCATTTTCCTGTCCGACATTCCTTTCCTTGCTTCCGTCCCTTCTGTATTCTAAATTTAAGTTATGTGAAATTGGGGATGGAGGGGCTTATTGTTACTCTAAAATAATACTTGATGTGTCTGGCTTTGGTTTTGAATGTTTGACTCATTCTCCCTTGGATCCGTTTTCAATCGAGCTCTGAAGTACAATAAATAATGTTCAGCTGCTCTCCAGTCACCAAGTCAGTCATGCTCACTGACACAGATGCCATGCATTGTGTTTGTATTCAAAGTTCTGTTTGTTACTGGGTCTTACTGCAAGAGCTGATGTAAACTAGGACCCTTTGGGGGCTGGGAGGAGAGAAAGTCAGTATCTCTGTAGAGACTTCGTCATATGGAGTACAAAAGCTGAAAGCTTCCCTGAACAATTAATGCTTGTAGTAGTGTTTTTTGGTAAAGCTTGAGATGATTTACAGGAATCTGCCAGGGAAATGCAGAATACTATGGTCTGTCAGCAGTTTCTGCTATGGCACAAAACCAGTTACTTTGCTCTCACATTTTTGTCCCTTTCCCCTCACCCAGTTTAACTGCACACAAACAGGGAATGCAGGTAATTCAGAGTTTCCTTCTGTTTTAATTTCTGCTTCTCAGGATTCACCATAATCCATACAGTTGTATTTTCTGCTAGAAAATTCAGTAGTAAGATAGTCTGCAAGATGTAATTGACTGTGGAATCTCCTGCATGCGCTTTGACCAAAGGATTAGGTGCACTTTATCTGTATGGGAGCTGGGATTCAAAGTGTACTTCCTGGTGAGGACAAGGGAGCAGTTCATGCATCTTAGTGTCACCGTTTTCTGTCTGTCTGCAGACTCAGGAAGACAACACTGTCTTGGTTCACATTCGGAAGAATATCTACACAACCACATAGGTTAGAAACTTTACTTTTAAATGAAGCTTTGAATTGGGCAGGAACTGTTGGGGGATATCCATAATGGATCTAGCACAGCATGCAAGCTGGTATCGATATCATCCAACTCCTTTCCTGGAATGGGAAAGTAAAATTGTCATAATAATTCAAAATTTGACTTTCCTTCTAACTTTCAGCAAGGTCGCTGGTGTCTTTTAATTTTCAGTTATAGTATAACTGAATATAAACTTTGCTTTTTCTCCTCCAGTTATTCAGTATTGCATGACCAAAACATTAATGAGAGCAAGTATTTACATTTTGATATGGATAGGCATGGAATTTGAGTTTACGTCTTACCAGTGACTGCAATATGGAATGATTGATGTTTTATTTTTTGAATTGCCAAGGGAATCATTTCTCTGTCAATCCACTCTTTAATTATGGAGCTATAACCATTGCTCCGTAACTTACGGTTGTGTCTGTTCTAACAGACCCTTGACAAGGTCTCTAATTTTAGTCTGTGATTTCTGATCAGACTTGCTTGTTTTCTGAATAATACCTGAGCATTCTCTAATGGCTAATCTTGCAAATTTAGCTTGTACTTGAGAGAGTATTTGTTGTGATTTAACCGTGATAGAAATTCAGTGAGCAGGGGTTGCTGTTCTTAATTGCAGTCAGTTGTGCAGGTGCTTTTGGCACCTGTAAAGGTGACAGAATAATTTGTGCTCTATGGTGTTGTGTAGTGTGGGTTATATAAGAACCCAGCTGAAAACAGTACCAATTCCGTTTGCAAAGTTGGTGTGTTGGGAAAATGAGTCCAGAGGAGATTTGGACCAACTGTGATGACTTAGGAAACAGAGTCAAAAGCAAAGTCCCTGAGATGCTATTTTAAGAGGCTTCTCGGAATAGATCTGCACTTAAAAGTTGAAGCTGTCATACAATCAAATATATTTTGTACTCGGCTCTTTTTCACTCATGCTTTCAGCTGAAGGATAAATACAAAGCAAATAGTTGAAGTTACTGCAGTTAGTTCTGGAGAAGTGCCACTGACCTCTTTACTTTCAGTTAGTCATCGGTCCCAACCCCACCAGCAGTCATCCCAGCCCCAGAGGACTCTGCTGCAGCACGTGGCTCAGTCACAGACAGCAACGCAGACTTCTGTTGTGGTGAAATCTATCCCCGCATCCTCCACAGGCGCAATTACCCATATCATGCAGCAGGTTGTACCCTTTCTTTTGCAAACAGTCTGTAAAACAGCAGTAGGCTATGTGAATGATGCAGGAGCAGGGTTTCTTCTGAATGAGCATGTTGCTGTCATTGGAAATGCTAAGTGTGAGGGCAAACGAGTAACTGAGTTCAACGTTGCCTCTTTTGATGGGGGAGGATGGTGGGTTAAAAAGGAAGACTTGAGAGTGTTAAAAGAGATATTCACAGTCACTGTGGAGAAGTCTTTCCTAGATTAGTTTTTGCCGTCTATGTCATCTTCTTGAGAGCAACCAGGTGCTTTTTTCCATATTGTTGTGTTGTAGGGGTCAGCATTCCAGATTATATTGGCATTAGAGTAGAAAAATCAGCAACCTCAGCTGTGGAACAGGGCAGTGTTGTGTTAGGGTTATAAATCCTCTTCAAAGAACAGATTTTCACTGGTGTTTGAGTAGGCTGCTTCATCCTGCTGAAGTCATTTAATAGCATGCTTATGCAATGGTACAGGAAGTATAGTAACATAGGTCTCTTGCTCCCCTCAAAAAAATCCAATCAACTTCCATGAAATGCATGAGAAAAGCTGTAGTAAAATTTTGAGGAGAAGGAAAAGAGAATCTGTGCTGAAATGGGATGGGTAGTAGGTATAGAGAATTATAGAATCTTGGAATTGCTTGAGTTGGAAGGGATCATTAAAGGCCATCTAGTCCAAATCCCCTGCACTGAACAGGGACACCTAACAGTTCTGTCAGGTGTTCAGAGCCTCATCCAGCCTGACCTTGAGCATCACCAGGGGGCAGGGTACCACCACCTCTCTGTGCATCTTTGGGAGCTGCAGCAGAAAAGATGGAAGGGATGACTAGATTTTCAAGAGGCACAGTAAGAAGTTGTGTAGATGGGCTCTGGTTTTAATGAGAAGTTAGTGATTGAACCACCTCTCTGTCGCTACTCTCTCATATCTATCTGCCATGCCGATTTAATGGGTTTCAACCCTAGTGTGATGTGAGCCAGGGCTGTGTATTTTCCACTGAAGAGCAGCTAACGCAGTTAATGTTCTCGTGTGGGGGCTTGCTACCTTTCAACATGGAAACAGTAATATTAATTACATAGGTATCGTGAATTTTGTGGAAGTGTATACGTGAGATGGGAGTCAGCAGTAGTAAAATCAGCTGTAGAAAGATTGAAGCATCAAAAATTGTGTTTAGATTATGCTTTCTTATAAAGCGTAATATATTAGATTGCTCCTTACTAACTTGCTCCAACTTCTTCTTCCTAAGGCCTTAAGCAGTCACACTGCGTTCACCAAACAGAGTGAACAGCTTGGAACCGAGGAGGGAGAAGTAGAAGAGATGGACACCTTAGATCCTCAGACTGGCCTATTCTACAGATCTGCCCTGACACAATCGCAGGCACAAAAACAGCAAAAACTGAGTCAGCCGCAGCTGGAACAGACTCAACTGCAAGTGAAAACTCTGCAATGTTTCCAGACTAAGCAGAAGCAGACAATCCACCTGCAGGCTGACCAAATCCAGCACAAACTCCCACAAATGCCCCAGCTTTCTATAAGGCATCAAAAGCTAACGCCCCTGCAGCAAGAGCAAGCACAGACCAAACCAGATGCACAGCATCCCCCCCACCACATGATGGCCAAAGAAAGGCAGCTTCCTACCTTAGTGGCGCAGCCACAGCAAACTGTAGTACAGGTGCTTGCAGTAAAAACCACGCAGCAGCTGCCCAAACTGCAACAGGCACCAACGGCACAAAAAATCTACATGCAACCCCAACCCCCCCAGAGTCAAATGCAGCTACCTGCCTCTTCAGAGAAACAGCCAGCAAGCCAGGTAACGGAATATTGATAGCATGCAAAATACACGTCGCTGTTCAAGGAAAAAAATCTAAACACCAACCCTGTCGCTGTAGCAGTGTTTTGTCCTGGCAAGAGAGAACTCCTCATTCTGCTGATCTTAATTACCCCATCAGAAGGTTGACACTAGGAAAGAGAAGCACATGTGTTATAGGGGAAAAATCCGTAGAGCTCACAAACGTGTTTTGTTGGACAGTTTTTATGAATTTCTGCCACCACCGGTGCATGGAATTTGTCCCTAATTATTTTCTTCCTTTTTTTTTTTTTTTTTTTAGATATGACACATGATTAATTTCCGTTCCCGTAGCACTTTTTATTTCTGTGGAAATAAAGATGAATACACCGCAGTCTCCTAAGGCTCTCCATTGTACATCTTCCTTTGTAGTTTACATCTTCCTGAAGTTCAGTGGCTTTCATGTACAAGAGTAAATTCATTTTCCTTGGGAGGGGAAAATGAAACAACTAAGCAACATGGAAAAACATATGTATTTTAACTCCAGAAAAGTACAAATTCTTTGTCCCTTTCAGGAGTACATGTGAAAACAAGAGAGCTAACAAACGTCACTTGGGGATGTAAATCCCAAAGGAAAACGAGGCTGCTGTGGTATTACACTGCTACAATCCTTATCTAGCGGCCCAAAGAGCTGCGTTTCCCCAGGCTTCAATTACCTGTTGCCATCTCTTGCTAATTCCTTTGTTAAAACACTGAGTTTCAACTGTCTTCTTAATAGCAAGTATGTTGTTTGTGCCAATACTGTCCTTGGAAATATTGATTAGATTTTCAATAATTAAAAAAAAAATCTAGCTGTAATGTGAACAACAAAAATTTGATTTTCAGGTGCAGCAAGCATCCAATTATAACTCAAGGATCCACTGTTACAAAGATAACTTTTGAGGGGCATCAACCTCCTGTTTCAAAGTTAGCAGGTGGCAGTTGTGTGCCCAAACTGGCATTGCCAGTTACAGTTTCCCATGCAGGCATCCATGAAGAGAGCAGTAGCAGACATTTTGAGAATGTCTATGGTGGTGGAAGCTCAGATTGATACAAATGTAGAAACTGTGATAGTGGATCCGCAAAATCAAGGCCATGTCCAGTAGTAAACCTGCTAGCGAAGCAGAGTCGTCACCTTGTACCCAGGTGCCGAGGGTGGCTGCAGTAGGGATGACGGCAACTTCCATCCCCCAGCAACAGACATGTAAAGAATCCAGTTCAAGTCCTCCTGCTGTTGGTCCTACTATAACAGAGAGGAAACTCGATGCACAAGGAATGCCTACAACAAACCAGTTTATACACATTCAGAATGTATCACAAAAGAAAGCTGAAGAGAGTTCATCAGAAATTGTTATCCAGGTAAGAGAAGACCAGAGCAAATAAGACAAAGATTTAGCAGAGCAAACTTGCTTTGTCTAATGTCGTGATAGCAGCTGAACAATGTTCAAGTACTTTTTGTTTTTTCTTCAGTTTTTACTTTTTCTACTCTTAGGCTTGCAATGGATTACTGCTCCAAAGTATGTAGCTCTTGTTAAAATGAGCTCAGGTTTCTTCAGCACCGTCATTCATGGTGTTCTCAGTGTCTTCCTTTGCTTTTCTGTTAAGAAAACAAAGCAAGTTCATCTATTCCAAAGTGCTTTACTTTGAAATGTTTCAAACATGACAATCACTGCCTACAATGGATCCATGATCTAGATTTTTTTATACCATTTAATGAGTATAAAATGAATTTGGGCAGAAAATGAAGTAGAGGGGTTCTGCTGACTGGATGGGAAAGTTCAATAAATGAGGTCTGGATTCACAAGGAAGTTTGTAAACTGTGTATAAACAGTCTTTTCACTTTTAAGATAAAATGACTTTAAATCTTTAAATGCTTGGAATCGTTGCCTATTTGATGATTGATATTTTAATTGATTTTGCTATCTTAAATGTGATGTTTTGTGATGTAGCGCATGGTCAGAGAGTCAACTGGTGAAGTATTTCAGTCATCTGAGGTCTCCTAGCGTTATATATGAATTGTTGCAGACAAGTTGGCAGTGTATCTGTTTACAGAAATGAAGTGTGGATTGAATTGGTTTTATTGTGTATCGTGTTACAGTGAAATACTTTTGATGGGGAAAACTGTGTACAGAGCATTCAAATTTTTCTTGTCACTTTGTAAACTCTTCATTGCAGCTAACTTAGCTTTTGTGCAATCCCTAGTCCTTATTTCCTTAAATAGACCAAAGGAAATTTCTATTTTCTATAACTTGAGATGTTGATTATCTTCATGGCATGCTACAGACTTTTTCAAAGACAGAACACTGCCCAGGTCTTGAATTGTGTAAAGATGTAGACTGAATTTCCAGGACCAGAAAAAGTAGAACAGCCTAGATCTGTTTTGTTTCCTTAGTGCAGTGCTACTGCAGCACTGAACAGGGTCAGAGCTTGTATCACATACAAGAAATAGAGCTATTCCATAGATCTGAATGCTCAGTTGAGAAAAATATAATATGTTGAAGAGTATTCTCTCTTGCTTTGCATTTGGAGAGTGGTGAGTGGTGGCAATCAGTGGTTTTGCTGCAATTCTGTCACAGACCTTTAGTGAAGGTCCAAGCCCACGATCAGTGCCCTAACGAAGCATTCAAACGTCGTCTTTCACAACCTCATCTTGTGAAAGGGTCCTTTGAAGCTCTGACAAATGTTTGCAACAGACATTAGCTAGGAAAAATTACTCTTGGAAAACTGAATAGCCCTTTTCCATGAGTTCCTGCGCCTGCTGAGATGCCTTTGCCTGCCAAAGCTGTGCATGTTAGAACTTAAATCTTTCTCCTTTTTTTCAGACTATCCCTCGATATTCCATCCCTTGTCACTCCAGCTCCAACGTGGTAGTGGAACCCAGCGGGCTCCTGGAGCTCAACAACTTCACCAGTCAGCGTCTCGATGATGAGGAGACTGCAGTGGAGCAAGACGTGGACAGTAGCGCCGAGGATGGCACTGAGCCCAGCCCCTCTCAGAGTTCTGCTGAACAATCCTAAGGAATGGGGACGCTGGAGTGCACTTTAACCTGTCTGGGGATTTGAGTATCCCAGATGCCCTTGTTTTGTGATGTCTTAGAGCACTTTGCCTATTAGAGTTGTTCATTGGACCCTTGAAGCATCAGTGTGTTTTAACAAGACAGTATTGCAAAAGCTGCATCTTAGAAATTGTTTCCAAAAGAAAAAGAGGTATAGTTACTGAGATATAGTAATCCCGTGACAGTGGAATGTACTCCTGATAACAAGCAAATCTGCAGCGAATTCTACAGCCCGTGCTATTGAAGCCCTTGCCCAGATACTGAAAGAGCTTTCATTGAAAAGGGATCTTTAATTTGCTGCGTCTTTTTGTTAGCTGCTGAGCAAAACACCATCAAAGAAGAGAATGTGTAATAAATATTTGTATTTTTAAATAGCATGTGAGAGAAACTGCCTCTGACAGTGCTGGAAAAGCCCCAGGAGTTTTGGAATTGGTTAGCTTTCTTGCACTTGTGCTCACTTAGAGTTAAGATTTTTTCATAAGCCGAAAAATATAGTTTATTTTTTTAAAATTCTTGTTGAATGTTTGGAAATAAGCAAAATCACTAACTGGTAGCAGTGTGGATTTGCTCGTGGATTTTTGTTTTCATGCTTTACAGGAATTAGGGTAACGGTGTACGAGCTGTTTCTTCGTGCCATAAGCACATGAAATGCTCATCGGCTCTAGTTGATCTCTGATTATTTATTTAAAACTTAAAGTGAGTCCAAGTTGTTTAAAAAGTTCCTGTTAAACAGGCAGGTGTGTAAATTCTAGTACAAAAGGGTTGTGGGGGATGTATTTTGCTATATATCCATTTTTCAAAACCGGGGGATAAGTGGTTCCACGTCTTTAAAAGCTGAACCTCGGAGCTTAGAAGTGAGCGAAGGCTTTTAAAAAATCTGTATTTTACTCTGACATGCTGTTTTTAAAGCGACCACTTGGGGAGTTTCGATGCTGAGATCAGTAAACAGTGGTGGGTCTCTGAAATCAGCCTTATGACTTGGCTTGTTGAAGCAATACATTGGGTTTCTGTGATAGTTACAAGCCACAGAGAGGGGGGTGTGGGTTCGGATGGGATATGAGAACCAGTTTTAATACGTTCTGCTAATGAAGACAATACTTTTTTGTTTTGAAATGTATATAAAAAACACGTTTTTAACTGTTTTGTATAGATTTCATTATAAATAACTAAGCATTTTAAGACTTTGACATATCATTCAATTGTATATACATCTATCAGCCTAACTGCCCACTTTTTGGTGCTGGAGTACTACTGTAAGTAGATTTCATCCAAAGTCTAATACAGTTTTTTGCGTCAGTCTTTTTTTTAAGCTGTGATTTTACTGTTGATATTGTAGTTACGATTAAATTCAAACTAGAGTGACTCAAACAGAAAATACAAAACCTAAAACGTTGCTTTTCCTTGTCCTGAATATCAATGTAAGAACGTGCAGAATCCCCTAGATGGTGCTGTTGCTTCTTCATCTAACCTCAGTTATATTTTAAAGGAAGTCCTTATGATTTTCATAAGGCGTTTTCTTCTCTGTTCTCCATTGCCATTGATTCTGAATCACATTCTTATTATGGTCGAGAGATGAATTTATCAACATGCAAACGCTTAATTTCATTTCTTTTTTGCGTTACCTTTGTGTTGGAATGGATTTCTGTTCTGCTGAATATTCAGGATGGATAAGAATTTATATGAGGTGAAACATGGCATTTGTCAAGTTAAAAGAAAAACCTTACCAGCGTGCCATTCTAAGCTGTTCAGGTTGTCTAGTTGTCTGGGAGCTGTCACTCTTGAGGAATAATTCTGACCAACAAGAGTGTCTTGAGTTATGATCTCAGGCCTTTTCCTCTGGCTTGGATCACATTTTTGCTGTCTCCTGGAATCTTGTTGTGTTCGCAGCATTCCTGCCAGAATCAAGATCTGCAAGGCCATAAAAAGAAAAAGCAGAGCGAGGTTTTTCTTCAGCACATTTGTGCAAAAATGTTGCCATAAGTTCTAGTTTCACATTTAGGTTCACCCAGTGGGGTGGTGGAGTCACCATCCCTGGAGGTGTTCAAGAACCATGAAGATGTGGCATTGAGAGACATTGGCATTGGCATAGGAGGGTGAGTTGGGGTTGAGCTTGGGGATCTCACTGGTCTTCTCCAGCCTTAATGATCCTAAGATTAGGATCCTAGCATTGGATTCTATGATCCTATGCTTTTTGCAGTCAAGAAGGGAATACTAAGAAACTGCATAAAGTAAATTCACTGCTGCTAACATATTACATATATTGTTAAGTCCTGGTTAGATCTGATGTTTTATATTAGAGCTTTGTCTGCACCATTAGTGATGACTTTGCAGCAAAGGTATGAGCGGATCTGCAGTGACATATTTGACAGTCGCTTGAAGATAGCTGTGTCTTGAGAAACATGAAAGCTTTTAGAGCTACTCTAAGAAGCAGCTGTTTTATAGGCTGGCAAATGGGAGCGCATGGGGAGCTACCTGGGGTCATGTAAGACATTTAGAAAAAAAAAAAATAGGACTGCTGAAATCAATGTGGTCAGGTTAACTTGAAGCTCCTCCTCTTTCCATTCTTTCCCAAATGAGCTGCTTCAGATTCCCTTACTTAATTAATTGTTCTAGCACTTAAACCTCATAAATACCTTTAGCAATAAGAAATGTGCAAGATGAGATAACCCATTTGGCCCTTTTATTCTCTCTCTCCCTTTTTTTCCCTACAGAAGAGAATCCTGCTGTAGCCCTGCACCCATTCCTTGCAGCCTTATAAATATCGCTCAGCTCCTAAAAATAAACCATCAGCGTGTACATTAACATTTGCATATCCCTTATCACTCATAAGCTGCATCGTCCTTCCTGAAATTAGTGTGATGATTCCCCTTGGAACAGAATAAAGGTGAGCTACGATGATGATAATCTACGCTCTTAGGAGTTGGCAGCTAATTGGGTTGTAATGTAGCGAGAAGATGTGGAGGAATTGGAGAGCAAGTAAAGAAGGACTTGAGTTGCTTTGAATTCAGCATTTCAGTAAATGTGCTCTGGTGGTGCATCTGGTGTGTATATGGATTTTCAGAATCTGATACAAAGTCAGGAGAAAGTACTGAAATAAAGGAGAAGTCAGGAATACTTTTAAGGATGCTTGCAGTCTCAGAGGGCAGCACGTTTCCTGGAGAGGTTTAACCCTTAGGAGAAATTCATTCTTAGTCTCTGTCTTTCTACCTGTGACAAAATGGGCTTTTGAAAATCGGGGACAAAATACAAAGCATGAAACTGCTTGGAGTTACAAATGTCATCTTACATGTGGAGAACCCTTTGAACAGATCACATGCCTAAATAGGATTAAAAGAGAAAGTCTAAGACCTCCGAAAAATCAAAGTCAGGGAAATGTGAGACTCTATGCGTGCTTTTTCCCCTAGTATATCAACATTTCCTGAGAACTAAGAAGTGTTTTGCAGACAAAGGTGGTTATGAAACCCCCATGGGCACCCTGCAAAAGTTCAATCCAGAAAGGGCTGATCGTAATTAAGATACTGAGCAAGAAAAATCACACTGCTTAGAGGCTCTCCTCTGTTGGCCATACAGCCCATTCAGTGCCTTTATGGCTATACTGGGCTCAGGACTTCCTCCCTTAAGCCATTAAGAATGGTAACGAACAACTCGTGTGAAGTTTCCTTCAATGCTATGGGACTGAAGAATTTTTCCCCCATCCAAAGTCTGTCCTGAAGCCATTCTGCAATTTGTGAATCTGATCTCCTCCTGCAGCAATGTAAAATGTAGCTTAGGGTAAGTTTAGAGGTCACCATGATGAGTTTAACAAAGAGAAAGTGAGGAAAAAATTGTTTTTAAATGTGTTTGTGGATTCCAAAGCAAGAAGGAATTTGACATCAGTGGCTCTTTAACCTCATGTTGCCCAACTTGGGTGGGATTGAGGAACTTGAGCTCCTTGGGTTATCAGGGAACCCGTAGAGGGAGCAGGAATGTCTCTCATGGACGATGTATGAGAATCCAAAGAGGTTTTGTCAGTCAAGTGCCCAAAATACATATAGCATCCTCTCTGATGGAGGTTTTGCTAAAATTATGACAACTCTTAGTGTGATAACATGTCTAATTTATTGCTCGTTACAGCCAATTTCATGTCATTTATTTTAACAAACTGCTTTCCATAGCTGCTGGCCAGAACTGTCCTGGAGGCTTGTAGGACTCCAGGACTCTGGGACTTCTTTCACATCATTCTCTACCAGAAATCAACTGAAGGCTCTGAAGGCTTCTTTGCAAACTCTTTGATTGCTGCTAAGAATGTTTTTTATTGTTGTTTGTTTCAAATGCCTATGCAGAACATAACAGACTGGTTGTCTCTGTGAGTTATGAGAGTCCTTGCCACACTGTTCTCATTGTTCTGGCCACTGACTGTCTCCATAAGTGTAAACGCTTTGAAATGGATGTTGGATCAGGCTGGGCTTTTCCAGCAGATGAACTAATCCTTAAATGTTGAAGTGCTGTTTGATGCAGCAGCCCTTTTGAAAAGAAAGGCAAACAAGATAGATTTTGCTCAATACCTCTTCAGGTCTCCGTTCTCCCAGTTCTCTTTGTTCCTGGATATCAGCTTTCCCCGTCAGTTTATTTCAGACCTGTTATCTGATCTATCTGCTTTACAAGAAGATAAACTTAACCCACTTTCCAGGTGGAAAATGGGGATGCTTTGGACAATGTCCAGATGAGTTTTGAAAATATACAAGGGTGAAAGTTTGACAATCTGTTCTAGTTGTCAGCCACCCTCATATGGAATTTTCTGGTCTTGAGTTTGTGACCAGAGGTACATGGGTAAGGTACATGGGTACCTCTGCCTCAGCTGGGACACCCAGAGCAGAGTGCCCAGCATCACCTCCAAGCAGCTTTTGGAGATCTCCGAGGTGGGGACCTTACAACCACCCCACACACACATTGGGTATTTATACACATGGAGAATATCACCTTCCATCTGTACTCCAAGAAACCTAAATGGAAGCCAAACTAGGGATGTAAAATACTTGGAGAAATCACTTCTGTTTCAAGTTTTCATTTACCTGGCCTAGGGCAAGGTGCACATCTTGGGACTTAGGTCTTCTTGCTTGACTGTGTGTTGATGGGAGGGTTTCAAACACATGTGATGCAACAGCCACTGCTTTCAGGGCTCTGGGAAATAAAGGCAGTAATTTGAAGCTATGGTGACCATGGACTTTCTGGAGTGTGAAAATGATACCAGCAAATTCTTTGAGACTATTTTGAGAGATGCTGGAAGAGAATTTTCCTACTGTGTGTCATGTGGAGAAGATTTGCCTCCTCCAGAACAAGGATCAGGCATCTTCTATGGGGTGGAGATGTGTCTCAAGGATTGGAAACAAGGACTTTGTTCAAGGTTATGACATTATCCAGAAATGAATTTCTCCCAGAGATGGAAGAACTCCTTTTCTTTTCTTGTGTGTGTTTTGTTTTTGGTTTGTTTGGGGTTTTTTTTTCCCCTTCTATCTTTTTGTTTGTTTGTTTCCTGTCAAGGTTTCTTTCTTTGTTTGAACTAAATGTCACAGTGAGATGTCATAGCGAGCCCAGGCTATTTATAGTGGAAAGCAGCAGTCTCTCGACTTTCAAAGTCTCTAGCACAGAATTAAAAGCACAGCTTTTCTGGTCAGGAAATGGCAAAGGTTTGTTTTGAAATAAGAAATAAAAGCAGAGCCCTTATTATAAACAGCTCCTTTGGGGTACTGTGAGGGAGCGAGTGCCTTCTGGGACAGCGGGACTGCGTAAAGTAGCACTAATCCTGAGCCAAAATTGAAGCTTTTCTCTTGTAATTGCACTTCAATTTGTCCTGGCAGGTGAATGAAGAAGCGTTCTTCCTTCTGCAGTTCCACGTTTGGAACCTCCTCCCCTTTTATCAATTGTAAGCCTTTCTTGTGTCCATATCTGCTGAGAAACAAAAAAAAACAAAGCCTTTTTTTTTTTCCCTTTACCATCCCAGCAAAGACATGGACGTGTCTTACTCTTGCAGCTGGGAATATAACTGATTGATGCTCAGTTCATTGTGTTGCTTTTGGGTGGAAATGCCCAGCAGTTGCCACCACGATAAGGATGTACCACCCTGCATTGCTATCCCTACTCTGCTATTTACCCAACCCTTTTGCCTCCTGCAAGCAGTGTGCTTTCAAAAATGAGAGATCATGAAAGGGCATCCCAACCTAGAAAGGACTGAACACTAAAGGGTTTTTGGAGCATGGATGGTGATCTGACTGTGGATGATACGAGTGCTCAGTGTTCTAATTGGGGTTGATGGGCTCTTCAACAGCTCTTAAAGAAGACTTTGCTTTCTGCATGCCTTGGTTTCCCAAGTTCTCAAAGCATGTAGAGTATATCTAGCTGTAGATGTCCCTATTC